GAGTGAGAGTAACCTGTACATAGCCACTCACCAGGTCACTCTTCGTTTCCAGATCACATCTTGTCTCCAGTTCCTGTCCTCCTGGTAGGTTTGGGGCTACTTGGGTTCCCTCCTTTGAACCATGTGCTGTCCTTGGCCTTCTCTCATACCAAGTGTCAGCGATGGGTTGAGAGTCGTTGTTGTCAGGGGTATTTTTATGTGACTCGTGTCTTTCTGTATATTTATAACTCTTACAGTGTCATAGAAGATGCAGCGATTCCCTTCCTGCTGCAGGAGAGCATTGAGCTTGCCCAGCTGCGAGACAAAGAAAGGTCCATGAGGAAGGGGCCCCATTAGCCAAAAGCAGTATTTAAATCCAGGTTTCTCCCCCCCAGAAAATGGGGCTACTGCTGTGCTTGGTTTTAATGTTCTAGAGGTAATAGCACAGATTTTTCAGCAGGGGCTGGAAAAGGGGGTGAGCCAGAAAGCTTTTTGATCAGGGTTGAGCTTTTGGGTTGGTTGGTTGGGTTTAGGGTGATGCTTTTGTTGGGTTTTTAGTATATGAAGTAAACTCTTATGTATATGTATCCTCTTCAAAGCGTGTGGGGTTTGTTTCTCCATCCATGCTGTGCTACTGGAATCAGCTGCTGGTGACTGGAAAATACACGGAGCTCTGAAGTCAAATAATTCCTGAGGCTCTGAAATCAGCACACAACTTGTCCTGCTGTTACATGAGAGAAGGTAGGAGAGACTGAGCCTGGCTGGGGTTTGAGGGCAAGACCCATCCCTCCTGCATTGAAACACCTCCAGAGTGCCCTCGAGCACCAGCACCCCCAGGCCTCCCCTACCCCATGTGCTCCTCACGTGTGTCCTCCAGGGCTTGCTGATCCTACCCAGAACGCGTGGCCCCATCTGTGCTTCAGTCCAGCATCGATGCTGCCACGAGGTGAGAAGCTGCCTTCCCCAAACCTCCTCTTCCTACTCCTCCATAGAGGCCCGCAGGGAATGGCAGCTCAACCAGCGATGTGCCATCAGCCTGTGGTGCCAGCAGACACCCTCTTGTGGCTGTTTCCTTCCCTCTCTGCAGCCCCCCCCAAGCGGGGACCATCCATCTCCTCCATTCCTTTGTTGTTAAGTTTGGTGAGCTGAGTTCCTTTAACTGAATTCCTTCGGTTTTGTCTGGCTTATGTCAAATCACAGAATCACAGAATGGTTTGGGTTGGAAAGGACCTTAAAATCATCCAGTTCCAACCCCCTGCCACGGGCAGGGACACCTCACACTCAACCATGGCACCCAAGGCTCTGTCCAACCTGGCCCTGTAGTCCTTAGCATACACAGCTGAACTTGGTGGAGTCTTAGGCTGAGAAGTGGTGCTCAGCTGTGTGCATCAAGGCCTCCAGACCACTGCAAAGGGGAAGATGAAGTTCCATAATACCAAGCCCTCTCGCAGCATCTCCGTGGCCTCCTCTGCACTCGCTCCAACAGCTCCACGTCCCTCTTGTGCTGCTGCCCCAGAGCTGGATCAGGACTGCAGGGGGGTCTCCCCAGAGCACAGCAGAGGGGCAGGATCCCCTCCCTGAGCTGCTGCTCACGCTCTGGGGGTGCAGCCCAGCACACGGGGGGGTTCTGGGCTCACGCACACACTGAAGCCAGGTCTCAGATGGGTCTTGAAATTGGGGTCTCCAGCAGTGATGTCTTCTCTGGGAGGACCCTCAGCATGGGGGATCTCTCCCTGTGGAGCCTTCCTGCCTCGGGGATGGGCGCTGACTTACATCTGCGTGCTTCTGCTTGCGCAGGGAAAAGCACGCATGATAAAAATGCAGGAGCCGCCTCCTCCCTGCAGGAAAATGGATTTCAGGCTCAGCCCCCAGGGTTCCCCTGCCCCTGCCTTACGTGAGGCAGGGAAATGTACCAGCAGCTTGAAATCTTTTGTGAGGGTTACTGGGAGGGTTTGTCCGAGCAGCAAGATGTAGTGCGGAGCCCGCACAGGGTGGGCAGGGCTGACTCCGTGCCAGGGGGCTCCAGACCCACAGACCACAGAACCCCAGACTGGTTTGGGTTGGAAGGGACCTTAAAGCTCCTCCAGCTCCAACCCCTGCCACGGGCATGGACACCTTCCACTGGAGCAGCTTGCTCCAAGCCCCTGTGTCCAACCTGGCCTTGAACACTGCCAGGGATGGGGCAGCCACAGCTTCTCTGGGCACCCTGTGCCAGCGCCTCAGCACCCTCACAGGGAAGAGCTTCTGCTTTATATCTAACCTAAATCTCTTTAAGTTTAAACCAGTTCCCCTTTGTCCTATCCCTACAGTCCCTGATGAAGGGTCACCATGGGGAGAAGCCGGTGGAACACACCTTGGCATTAGAAGGGACAGCTGGTAGCTGAAAGGGGAACTCAAAAGTGGTTTGCAGGCTGGGGCTGCTGAAGCAACACCCCAGCAGCACAGGATGAGACCCAGCAAGGACCTCCTGGGTCTCCTTCAAGCCCTTCTCTGTCTCTCCCTTGAGTGAGGGATTCAAAGAGGGACCCGGGTGGTTGGTGTGATCACACTGAGCAGCAGCTCTCCTCACCCTCTGCCCCATAGGGCTGTTAAACCCTAATTCACGTTGACAGCTGCCAAACAGCAGTCTATTCTGCAGCATCTTCCCTTAGACAAGCTCCTGAGGGAGCAGGCAGAGGGAATGGGGCAGCCAGACACTGCCAGGGCGTGACATAGAGCTTCAGGGTTGGAGATGGATGTGTGTGATCAGCAGGGAAATAAACAGCCCTTTGGTCAGTGCTGGGAGCTGTTCCTCATCTGTCTGCAGGACACGGTTACAGGGATACAATAGAGAGGTGTAGCTGCTGGGTTTGGAGCGGTGTCACCAGCAAGTCAAGCCTCTGCCAGCGGTTCTAGGGTTTCTGGGGTTGGTATCAGTGGGGTTAGTGGAGGAATGAGGCAGGGAGATGAGGTCAGAGTGCCAAACCCAACCGTTTTGTACCCATTTGTTTAATATACAGCTACTAATGTGGGGAATGGGTGCTGGAGAGCCCAAGCCACCACCAGCCTTCTGCTGTTGTCTTCTAACCAAGCCCACAGCAGGTTGCCCTGGCTGCCTACACACTGTGGTTGTCCATGGAGCATCTCGGCCTTCAGTGCTCGACATGCGCAGCAGATGGCCAGTAGTTCTACCTGTCCTAGGTCCAGGGGTATGGACTTGTTCTACAGCCCCTGCAGGGGGGGATTCTTCACTCTGCATCCAACTTACAGCCAGAAAACTTCACATCCTCTCCTTCAGGCACAGGTCTATATGAAAACACCATCCCTTTATGTCTGACAAACTCTCCACCCCTTCATTCAGCAGCTCTTTATCCTACAGCATCTGCATTGTGCCTCCTACCGCCTTGCTGCTGACCTAGGGCAGGAATCAGGATGAAAGAGCTGCTCTGGGCTTCCCAAAACGCTTTTGCATGGGCACAGTCTCCTGCGCTTCACTTCGAAGACAGCATTTGAGCAGGGATACAGAATCCCTGGATTCTGATCCAGTGCTTATGGAAATCCTCCTGGGACAACACAAATCGGTGCAGTTTCCTTCCGCCGTGGTTCACCCGCGCGTAACACCGGGTCGTGAGACAGCGTGTGGTAAGCACGCAGCTCCCCGTGGCTGGTAAAGCCATTTGCATTCACAAGGCAGCCACCACAGCTCCTGATTCTATTGAATGTTGAATGTTTCACTGAAAAAAGGAGGAAATTCAACAGCTTGGTACAGTCCCCTCTGTGAAACTCAAGCCTCGGAGCTTTGTTTCACTATGAGTGACTGACCCTGCTGTAATCCCAACCGCTTCCTGCCAAGGAAAACAGAGTTCCCTGGCACAATGAAACGTAAACCTTACACCCCAGCAACACAACAGCCTCCAGGCTCAAGCAGATGTTCCCTGCTTCAGAGTGCAGGAGACAAAGGGCGGCTCAGCAGACTGCAGTTGGTTGGGGGTGAATCCTTGTACATGGGGGCTGCAGCTTGAGTTGTGGAGGGCTGGCGAGGGGGAAGAGAGCAAGTGAGAGCACAGCAGGAAAAGGTCAGGGAAAGCAGGAAAGAAACGGGGTATTTGGCTGAACTGGCTTCAAATTCAGCTTCTTCCTTAGAAATTCCCATGTCTCGCTTCCACACAAGGTCCCTGTGAGGCACCACTTGCAGCACTGTGTGCACTTCTGGTGTCCTCAACATGACGAGGACATGGAGCTGTTGGAGCAAGTCCGGAGGAGGCCACAAGGATGCTCAGGGGCTGGAGCACCTCCTGTATGGAGACAGGCTGAGAACATTGGGGCTGTTGAGCCTGGAGAAGAGAAGCTGTGTGGAGACCTCAGAGCAGCTTCCAGTGTCTGAAGGGGGCTACAAGGATGCTGGAGAGGGACTCTTCATCAGGGACTGGAGTGATAGGACAAGGGGTGATGGGTTCAAAGTGAAACAGGGGAAGTTCACGTTAGATACAAGGAAGAAGTTCTTTACTGTGAGGGTGCTGAGGCACTGGCACAGGGTGCCCAGAGAAGCTGTGGCTGCCCCATCCCTGGCAGTGTTCAAGGCCAGGTTGGACACAGGGGCTTGGAGCAAGCTGCTCTAGTGGAAGGTGTCCCTGCCCGTGGCAGGGGATTGGAACTGTGTGGGCTTTAAGGTCCCTTCCAACCCAAACCACTCCATGATTCTATGAACCCCACTGAACATGCCACATTTGGAAGTAATTGAAAGCTCAGGACCCAAGAACTGGTTGCAAAATAGGAGATTCTCTTCAAACATTATTGTCTGGTACAAATGCAATACCCTGATCACAAAAGAGCAAAGGATTTTACAACCGGGAAATAAGAGTAACCTGTATGCTCAGCTCTCTATAAGCAAAATAGACATATAATTCCTACACTGAAGAGCTCCACATTTAAGACATTCCTGTAAAGAGGAGCAGTTTGAAGCTTCCGTGCTCATTCTCTTAAGGTGTGCAATGCTCTTTTGCAAGGGTTGCACCCTTCAAGCAGAGGAAATTCATCACGATCCAGGGATAACTTGTCCTGGTTTGATCTGTTTTACACTGAAGGAAGTAACCTTTCCAAGGGAAGAGTGGAGAGCTGGGGCTGAATGTGGAAGTGGTCTCAGCTTGGAGAACTGGGCAGGAATGGAAGGAGAAGAGGCACTGATGTGACTGGGGTGTTACTTACCATCCGCTGCCCTTATTTTCCAGACATGAACTTGGGCTGCAGAGGCCTGAGCATGTGTTTCTGCGTTTGTGTCCTGGAGAAAACATTTATCTGCACTGACTGCATTACCTGTGTAACAAGTGAGGAGGTGTGACCACCCCTGGCCCTGCTGTGTATGAGCCACGAGGTACCTTCATTAACCACAGAATCCCAGCCTGGTTTGTGTTGGAAGGGACCTTAAAGCTCATCCAGCTCCAACCCCTGCCACGGGCAGGGACACCTTCCACTAGAGCAGCTTGCTCCAAGCCCCTGTGTCCAACCTGGCCTTGAACACTGCCAGGGATGGGGCAGCCACAACTTCCTAAAGCAACCTGGTCCAGTGCATGGCAAAACTGTCACCTCTAAACCAGCAAAGCCCAATACACCCATCAGCATCCCTGTCAGTGCTCCACGTAGCCACTGTAACAGCCAGGCCAGCTTCTGCAAGGGTATTTATAGAGGGAATGCACCACGAGGAGCCCTCTGTGGTTTGCTGAAGAAGCTGTGGAGGTCGGGTCGGTGTCCAGTGGCAGCTGGGTACTCACCCCTGTGGAACTGCATTGGCAAAACACCCACTAAGGTTGAAAGTGCAGCTTCTGAATTCCTTCTGAAACCAGGCCACGGAGCAGCCTGGCTTTTTGTTCTGTCACAATCAGTGATATGAAAAAGGTGCTGTTGTTCTTCCGCTGGAAAGAGCTCTATGGAAAGGGAACTACTTAATAAAAAGCTGAGTTGTTTTCCAGGCTCTACTGGAATTTAAGGTCAAGGCTATCTGTATCTATCCATTAGTTACCATGAGCTGAGCTCCTTTGTTCAGTTTATCCTATTTAATCACCAAAACCCCTTGGCCACACTGTGAACAGGCAGAGCTCTTCCATGGGCCTGACTCCACACTGTGGCAACGAGTTGTGCTGTCTTGTGTGCATGCAAAGATCCACGCTGCAATAGGAATAGCAAATGCCCCCTCCTCATGGGAAGCTGCTGGGGCAAAGGGGCTTCACTGCCTGCTCTCTAAGTAGATGGTAATGAAAATTAACCAGGAAGCATTAATTCAAGAGGTTTATTTACTTGTCAGAGCTCCTACTCCGCATAGAGGAGAACAAATGTTCACACACTACTCACAGCTTCAGCTAGCCCTCAGCGATTCTACTCAGGTTCCCTGATGGCTCCTCACTGGGCTGTTTAAATACACTTGCAAATCCAAGAGCTGGGACTCATCCCTTCAAAAAACCACATTTCATTAAACAACAAAGAGGTCTGGAAGTCGTTTTAACTCTCAGCTCAACTCTGACCATTTCACAAAGTCCTTCACTACTCCTACAATATAGACAACATTAACAGAGACCCCAATGCTCCCACACCTCAATTAAACCTATAACATAGGAGAGGAAGAAAAGAGAGAAGTTAATGCAAGATGTGGTCATGTGGCTGTTAGGAATAAAATCTACACCATTTCCCAGCTGGGAGTGCCTGGGGAAATAATTTCTAGCTTTGGGGAATAGAGAAATTACTTTTTTAATCAAGTTATAAATACATAACCTTTTTTTGGGGAGAATTAATTAGAAATGGATTTAGGAATAATATTTCATAGACTTTGTGGAAGAGAAATAGATACATAAAAATCACTGTTCCTGTTAGGCAGAAAGAGTCAGTGTAATCCCAACAAAGGCTTGGCTAGTAGAGGCCATCAATGGGTGGTCTTCTTCCTCCCCGATGGGATTGGAGGTAGGACAGGTTTGGAGCCTGCCCAGTTGCTGAGCTGAGGCACTTGAGAAGAACCAGCCTTGGACTTGCTGTGCTTCCTCTGGGGGTTCTCAGCAGAGAATTCCATGTCTGCAGAAATAAGAAGTGAAGAAGCACTAAGAGGGTGTTTATAGAATCATGGAATGGTTTGGGCTGAAGAGACCTTAGAGCTCCTCCAGTTCCAACCCCTGCCACAGGCAGGGACACCTTCCACTAGAGCAGCTTGCTCCAAGCCCCTGTGTCCAGCCTGGCCTTGAACACTGCCAGGGATGGGGCAGCCAGAGCTCCCACAAATCTGCAGCTGAAAAGCCAGTGTTTTGGGGAAAGAGGGATGAGCAACACCTTCAGGTAGTGACTGCTCTCCCTCTACGTATGGAAGAGCAACTTTACACCTAAGCAGTCACTAGCTAATTTCTCAGGAAGTTCATTGAGGGAAAGCTGCTGTATTGAGTGTTTTGCATTCACACTGTGATGAGTCTGCCACATCAAAGTATTGTAGAATCATAGAATAGTTAGGGTTGGAAAGGACCTTAAGATCGTCTAGTTCCAACATATCCTTGCTTCTTAAAAGTGTCATTACTAGAAGCATGAAGAAGCTGCTCTGTAACCCAAAGCTACTGCTTTTATAGTAAGATGCAGAGCCTGAGCAAAGCTGTTCTATATTCTATTACATAGAATATAGAACAGAATGAACCAGGTTGGAAGAGACCTTTAAGATCCAGTCCAACCTTTATCCAGCACTGCAAAGGCCACCACTAACCCATGTCACTGAGGGCCTTGTCTACTCAGTGTGTGAACACTTCCAGGAATGCTAATTCCACCACTTCCCTGGGAAGCCTGTTCCAAGTGGTTCAAAACGTGTTCCAATATGGTTCAAACCTTTCAATCTGCGCACTCCATCTTCAGCTCTTCTTGGATTTTGATGCTCAGCTTTGGCTTCTTCAGGGAGGTGAGCATGAGGAACAGGGCTCCGAACAGGCAGACCTCCAGCAGCAGATGAACCAGATGAGATTAGGAATCGTCCCCTGGCAGGACCAGGTTCTTTGCAGCTGAGAGGAGGAAATGATTCATCCTTTAAAATAGCAATAAAATAGCATATGCACCAAGCCTGACAGTACCACTGATGTTGCAGTCACACGACTCAGTCAAGAGACAGAAATAAATCCCAGTACTTACCGGTTCCACAAAGCTTTACACATCACAAAACTTCTAGTGCTAGCAAACACAGATACTGCCTCTCTCCATCTGAATTTATTGATTTCATCAGCCACTCGACAGTGCATCAGCTCCAGATCTGAGATCAGAACTCAGGGCTCCTTGTTCCTAAATCCATCTTCGATGTTCTCTCTTGGTGAGTGAAAGAAAAGAGGAACTGCCTCGAAAAGAAGCGTTTCTGTAGTACCCCAGTGACAACACAAACCATGAGTAGTCATTTACCAGTGAGTAGTATCCAAAGCACCTCTGACCTGTTATGTCTCTTGCAGAAAAGCCAAAACACGAATGGTCTGAGACCCTGACAATGATAACGACCGTGTTGTAGCTCGTTCTGATAAAGCCTTCCCATTTCCCTCTATAGACTATCAATTTACTTCAAGATAAGTAAGGAAAAGGCCTTGATTGATATGTAAGGATCAATAACTACCTATTTCATGCAAAACTGTGACATATTTCTGGAGCAATGCTTCAAATAATTAATAATGTCTCTGTACAGAAAGGACTGTTCGGGTCTAGGTGAGAGAAACTAATTCATAGATTTATGAGCCTAGGAGGAAGATTATTCACCCTGACCTTACCCATGGGGCAGGCCAAAGGAATTTCACCCTCTAATTCTTGCAAGAAGTGTTTAAGCTTGTGAGAATAACTGTGATTACAGTGTTGTGGGGAAAGGAAAGGAAGTATTTCAGTGGTATTTGAATAAACCCATACAATAAGAAGAAAGGATCATGAATAATGAGATATAACAGTGAGGTTCTCCCATAAGAAACAGGTAATTATCTTGTCACTAGATAGATGTACTATGGAAGACTATGGGATTTTTTCTGTTGCCTTCAAGGTAAAAGGATATTTTATCCCTTAATGTACTGTGTGCTGACGTCTTCCTCTGAGGTCCACTGCACCCAAGGATGCTCATCAAACACCCAGTGCTCCAGCCAAGTGCTTAACCCTAGTTGTAATCTCATTTTAGCTGCCTGTAATACTCATCAGACATAACTGCAGTAGGGATGAGAAATAACTAGAAGCAGTAAATCCAGGCTTAGTATAAACAGCACCTTGGACTCTTCAACAGCATCTATTCCAGTTTCTAAAAGGCTGACTACTGCTTTTTGCTTCAGAGAACACAGTCACACATCCACCTACGAATAAAGGCTAAAAATAGATACACATAGTTAGAATTAACCCCCGTGGAGCTCTAGCTGCAACTACTTGAACGCGGTGTGTTAAAAACCAGCCTCCAAAGGTACTCAACAACAATCTCCATGGCTTTCCTCCTCAGCTGTTCCTTTCTTAAATGGCAGAAGACAAGGTAGAGCCTGGAAATAGATCATGTACCACTGGGCAGGGTGTAAAGGGAATGCAGGCACTCAGGCTTTTGTAGTACAAGTGTTACAGGAAGCATTTAACTTAATTAAGGATTCTTGTAAAGCTGCTTAATGAGAATGACATCAAAGGTAAGTGGGAAACTAGAGCTTATGGGGTCTCTGACATGTAGATGTCCAAGGTATTTGGGAAGTGTGGGACAGAGGAGCTGAGAATTTGCCTCTATGCCTTTGCCAGGTGACCTGTGAATGAATTTGGACAAGGTATCCTTAGTCCTTTCCTGACAGCCTCAGCACAGAAAAGAGACTGTTTATAGGGGAAGCAGGCATGCTGGGGGGTTGGAACTGGATGATCTTAAGGTCTTTTCCAACCCAAACCATTCTGTGTGTCCTGACTTTAAAGTTTTCCCTCAGTAATGAGTTGAGGAGTAAAGCACTGGCCTGCTACAGATCCTGTTTAGATTCTGGTTGCACTGGGCTGCCAAACCCTAACGTACATCGTTGCACATGACGTTGTAATATTTCAGTTGATGGACATTTCTCATTTGCTTGTGTTTGGCAGGAATGGGGATGTGCAATTCAATATTTGAGTCAGTTCCTTGTTAAATGGTAGGTGAGGTTCTTATTCCACCCTCAAACTTGCAAACAGGCATAGTACAGAAGCTAATGGGAGTCCTGACATGGAGAACGTTGTCTCCTTGTCTTCAGTGTGAAAAGGTGCTTGTACAAGAATAAAAACTGTGGCAGTTGCTCTGATTTTGTCTGCTTTCTATTTCTGTCACTGGTAGAAGTGAATGGAATAGAACAGTGGGGTGAGGTTTGAAGAGCCCTGTATCGAGGCACACCCCACAGCCTGTACATACAAGAAAAAGTTAGGGAGAAGATATCAGGAGAAGAAATAGAGAGGGACTCTTCAGAAGGGAATGTAGTGATAGGACAAGGGGGAATGGCTTTAAACTACAAAGGAGATTTAGGTTAGACATAAAGAAGCTCTTCCCTGTGAGGGTGCTGAGGTGCTGGCACAGGGTGCTCAGAAAAGATGTGGCTGCCCCATCCCTGGCAGTGTTCTGTGATTAAGAAGTTTCTACTCTCCAACTCACTGCACTTTGTGTCTCCTCTCCTCATTATGCTGTAACCAGATCGTTTCAACAACCTTACAAAGACTTCTGCTTGGTTAAAGTGAGTGATGAAATACAGCAGAGAGGGACCCAAAGAATTTATCATTGCCTGTGGCGAGTAGCAGTGCTTTAAAGTACAGTTGTAAGATCTATTGCCCTAAAGGACTGCTACTCACCAAAGGCGATGATAAATTGCTTAAGCCTGTGAGTGAAAACAAATGGCACCTCAGGCAAACATAATCCACACTTCCATGTGTGGGAGAGGTCAGCCTCCAGCAGAGGACTTGAGAAGTCCCTGGAAACTGGCACAGTGTTTTCTTTAGTGAGATCAGGAAAGACCAGGTCATCGTAGGTTACTTCCCAGGAGGAGAGCATAGCTATGGTCTCAGCGATGCAGAGAGAGAGACTAATCTGTTCTTGATGTGAGATAACCCTGCTCTTGGAAAGCAGTGTTTCCTTCACTTGCTGTGCTCACAGGTCAACGCATTCATACGTACTCTTTCCCCTTGATGGCTTTTTTTACTTTACTCTTTCTTCCATTCCAAATGTTGAAAGCATGAAATTGGAGAGAAAGAAGAACATATTAAAGCACCTCAATATTCAAACCAGATAACTGCAGGTTGTACAATGCTTCAGATACAGGGGGTTTTCAAACACATCTACACAACAGCGTTTCCATCCATCACTCCTCTAAGCAAATTCCTTCCCAGCTTCCCATATTTCCCTTGCAAAAGGAGCTGGCAACACAACTCTCTACCAGTTTGCTGTAGGCCATGCTGCACGCATGGAAAACGAATCAGATTAGCAGTTTGCTTTTCCTCTCCTCACAGTTGTTTTCCCACTGCGTTATTAACAGCGCTAAATGAAAACAGTGCTGAAGTCAAAACACCACAATGTGGTGGAGTGGAAAGACATATTTATTCCCATATGTGAAGGGTAAGACCTTTACAACTCATCAGAGCTTCGCACTCACTTGAGTTATAGGTCTTGCTGCTTCCTGCTAAGGACAGATGATGCATAATCCCTCAGCAACTTATTACGCACTTGGTTTCTCTCACACACTCACTCTGTTCCACTTCAGCACACTCCACCATGGCACAAATACTCAGGACAAATGAGTCTGCAGAGGCCTGTGGGTTTGCCCTTTTTAACAGCATGCTAATTAACTACTTGTAATTACAGTGGCAGGTAGTACATCACAGAGAGAGCACAGTCTCTCTAGGATAGAAAAGGAACACAGGGGTTTTTACAACAGCAAGCTTAGCTTGAAGTTCTGTTTAACACGTGAGGGATGAGGTGAAGGGGTTGAAATCTCACAAAGATGCTTGGCATTTCTCACTGGTCTGATTTAATGTGAAAAGCTGCCTCATACCAGAAGTGTGACCAGCAGGTCAAAGGAGGGGATCCCAGCCAGAGGTGCTCTTGTGAGACCCCACTCGCAGCACTGTGTGCAGTTCTGGTGTCCTCAGCATAAGGAGGACATGGAGCTGTTGGAGCAAGTCCAGAGGAGGCCACGAGGATGCTCAGGGGCTGCAGCACCTCCTGTATGGAGACAGGCTGAGAACATGGGGGCTGTTGAGCCTGGAGAAGAGAAGCTGTGTGGAGACCTCAGAGCAGCTTCCAGTGTCTGAAGGGGGCTACAAGGATGCTGGAGAGGGACTCTTCATCAGGGACTGGAGTGACAGGACAAGGGGTGATGGGTTCAAAGTGAAACAGGGGAAGTTCAGGATAGATATAAGGCAGAAGTTCTTCCCTGTGAGGGTGCTGAGGCACTGAAACAGGTTGCCCAAGGAAGTTGTGAATGCTCCATCCCTGGCAATGTTCAAGGCCAGGTTGGACAGAGTCTTGAGTGACATGCTTTAGTGTGAGACATCCCTGCCTACGGCAGGGGGTTGAAACTAGATGATCTTAAGGTCCTTTCCAACCCTAACTATTCTATGATTCTATAATTCTATGTGTGTTTAGGAGGTTATTTAACAATGATTTTTACAAGGTGTGAAAACACAGGGGTGGCAAATCCACAGCATGATGTGTTTAAATAGAGCAGGAAAGGTATATTGGTTTGCATGGGATTAGAACAAGATAGCAAACATGGGGTTGAACCCATCATCCAATTCAAGTTTACCAACAGCAAGACAGCATAGCTCACTCTAAGCCATTCAATTTAGCTCATTCAAGTCGAAGCTTTCAGATGAGCTTTGTGGTAGTTTGTGAAGAGTGAGCAGAGGATGGCTACAAGCACACACCTACTTCCTAGTGTGGATGGGGATCTGGTGTGTTACGCTTCACTAGGTCATGCTGTGTGGCATCCGGCTGTTTCTGTATATCCCATCTGGGCATGGGATTACAACAGATGGCCAGGAGAGGGGAAAAAGCAAATCTTATCCAGGATGCTGCATAGAAAAGCTGCAATGTCATTGCCACAGCAGCAGACAGGCTTGTTGGCAGCCAGAGCTCAGATGTACTTATGAAACAGGACCATCAGAGTAAGTCACAGCCATCCTGTAAGAGGCAATGTGTACCTGCAGAGCCAGTCAGGAAAATATAGCTGAAGGCACTGAAGATGTAGCCTTTTCATATCTTCTTCTACCTTCACCTCTCTACAAGCTTTAAATGAGATAGGGAGATGTTTCCCTCTCATACCTCAGAGCCTGTTTAGCTGTGGTACAAGTAAATGAGGATGTTCATCACTCATGAACAGAGATGCTGCACAAGATATGAAGCATAGTAGCAGTATTTGAAATAGCAAGAGAAGGTAAAGGTATTACAGTGTTCAGTATTGTGATGGGATCTGATGCTATCATGGATGAGATATGAATGTGAAGATCACCAGAGCCTCCCAAATGGTAACTATGGTATTCCTCTAAAGAAAGAATGAGAAATAACCCTGATAGCAATATCTGGTAAATTTGTTTTAAAAATGTATTTTCCACTCAAGTTCTGTTTTTCTATACCTGGACCAAGTTTCTTTCAGCATCTTTCTCCCTTCAAACATCCTCTTGATAGAAAGCTCTCAAAATTCTCTTTCTGTGTATGTGAATTATGGTGTGTAAATGAAACCAGTCCCACAAATGGCAAGACTTTGGTTTATGCTGCAGTGACACGTGCTTAATAAGGCTGTTGATGTAGCAGATGAGACAACTGCATTAGCTTGGGAAATGGTTTTAGTTCTTGCACACTGCAGCATTAACCTTCATTCCACCCAGCGATGATCTGCTGTCTCAGAAGCTGAACTCACCGACCCCCTGGGTTACTCAGGGGGAAGCTCTGGTCTTGGGTCATATTCCTTCCATCTGAGAGCACAGAAGCATACATTGTTGGTTCCAGGAATTGCTGATGGGAGCTGCCCGGTGCAGGAGTGGCTGCCAGGTCCCTGAAATGATATGGAAAGAAAATAAAGTGCTTGTTACCTGCATTTCTATACTGTGATAGCTTCATTAGAGCTTAGTGAGTTCACAAGACCTGTTCAGCTGGAGGGGAGTGTTATCTCCTGTGGGAGAGAAGCAGCAATATAAGCAGTTGGGGGTAGTAATCCAGGCTCTGTTTATAGCAAATAGAGAGGAACAGTCACAGCTACAGTAGGAATAAACTGAAGCTTGAGTAAGGAGCTAAAGCAGCCTGGATGAATCACTCTCCATTGAGACAGCAGTGTAGGGCAACTTGTTCAGATAGAGACATTTTTATTAGACACACGAAGTGGGGTGAGACTGTGACTAACTCACAAGATGAGAGTTTTCATCATCACTGCCATGTATAACACCTAAAGCAAAGCACTCTTGACAATTCCAAAGTTGGCATCACTATTATTGCCGTAATTGGCACCACTATTCATTATTATAGACTTGAACCACAGAGCTAAAACCAAAGACAATGACAGAATGATTTGGGTTGGAAAGGACCTTAAGGACCATGAAGTTCCAACCACCTGCCAGGGGCAGGGACACCTTCCACTAGCTCAGGTTGCTCCAAGCCCTGTCTGACCATAGGCTGTTAAGGCAACAAGTACACCACTGCTGGTTTCCCATAGGAAACAAAAAGGCTGGAATCTCTCATTGCCTTTTCACACCTCCTCATCTTGCCAGAGCAGGACTGTTCCCCTCTGTGGGTCTTCTGATGCTTCAGTGATGAGGCTTTCCCCTCCCCTCCTCAGAAGTCAGTCCCTAGCCCAATACACTGCGTTGCAAGCCAGGTTTTTCTACTCGTTGCCTTTAAATTTCCCTTTCTTTAGTTTGTTCTTATTAACACCTATAAATAAAGCTTCCCTAGTGTAAGGCCTCAAGCTGTTATTGTTTCACTGTCAAGCAACCACCAGCTGGTAATGGTGTTTGTTTGTTACCAGCTCAGATTGGAATCTGAACCAATTACATAGGTGAAAGGGCCTGATTCCTTTAATGCCCCCCAGAGCCGACTGCTCTCAAAATCAGTTCTTGTAAATCCACATGATGGAAATGAAAATAAGAAGACACGAAGAAAAGCTCAGCAAAGACCTCTGATGTACAGCACAGAAATACACCCCCTGACAGGGGAGGTTAAAGCAGGAATCTGAAGGCAGGACCGAAGGGCAACCATGGGAAAATGGGCAAAGGTTTGGCTTCAGAACCTGTGACCCACTCTGGAAAGCTGCAACTGAGCTGATAAATAAACTTAAACCACCATGGCCAACAGCTATGGAAAAGATGCATTGTTAGAGGTGTGATAGGGATGGTTTTTCACCTTCTGCCTCCGCACTAAATGTCTCCATTGTGTTGTCTCTCATGTTTTGTACTGTCATTATAGGTATTTAGGCTCAGAGTAGAATTCAAATTGCAGCAGGACGCCTCAGCTCAGAAAACAAAAAAAAAAAGAATGGGAAAACAGGCTGAAGAAGTTCAAGAGCACCCTGTGAAAAGGCACATCCATGAGTTCAGAACAACGTCCTGGCTTTGTCATTGAGAGGGGCACAGAAATAAAACTGAAAGAGGCAGAAGCTCTTCCCTGTGAGGGTGCTGAGGCGCTGGCACAGGGTGCCCAGAGAAGCTGTGGCTGCCCCATCCCTGGCAGTGTTCAAGGCCAGGTTGGACCCAGGGGCTTGGAGCAAGCTGCTCTAGTGGAAGGTGTCCCTGCCCGTGGCAGGGGTTGGAAGTGGAAGAGCTTTAAGATCCCTTCCAACACAAACAGTCCTATAGCTCTCTGGAACAATGTGTGCACAAATCTTATGCTCACAGTAATCAAATCCAAGCTGAAGAGAGTCTCAGCCACAGGCAGACCATAGAATCATAGAATAGTTTGGGTTAAAAGGACCTTAAGATCACCCATGGGCAGGGATGCCTCACACTAGACCATGTCACCCAAGACTCCATCCAACCTGGCCTTGAACACTGCCAGGGATGGGGCAGCCACAGCTCCTCTGGGCACCCTGTGCCAGCGCCTCAGCACCCTCACAGGGAAGAACTTCTGCCTTAGATCTAACCTGAACTTCCCCTGTTTCAGTCTGAACCCATCACCCCTTGTCCTATCACTCCAGTCCCTGATGAAGAGTCCCTCTCCAGCATCCTTGTAGCCCCCTTCAGACACTGGAAGGCTGCTGTAGACCTTCTCTCTCTGAAGTTCTGGCAGTGAAACTGTAAAGGGTATGAATTCCTTCCAACTCAGAGAAGCAATGTTATAAATCCTCCTCTCGGCGCTGCCTGCTCTTGCTTCCTCCAGTTCTTTCAGCAACATTTAGAAGAATTCAAGAAGTTAATCATTAGCTAAAGGCCTGATTTGAAGGAGACTTTAACCCAACCTCTTATTTATTACCCTCAAATACACAGACAACTAGTGAAATTACTCAGAGCAAACCACCGAGTGTTGCTTGTACATTATGTTAGGCAATGAGACATCAAAATGACTTCAATTACACCTGCACACAGCCCCAGGCAAAAAATAGAGGCCAGGTTTCCAGTAATTTGGGTTTAAGAATCTACATTTATGTAGATAAGCCTGAGGGTCTGCAATAAATAAGACAGGTTAGATTCTTGTGTGACACCACTTTTCACATTCCCATACTCAGGAAAATGGAGCAGTATATTTCAGTTTGGATTAAAATGTCTAATGATGAGATTAAACATTAAAGAATCTTTTTAATATTTACAGATACACAAGAATTCAAACCATACCTTTGGAACTTCTTGGAATATATCATTTTTGACATCAGTTTCATCTATTTCATACAATTTAGGTCCATTCCACACTGAAGCAGGGCTCTCATTCTCTGCAGCAGCGCTGCTCAAACGCAAGCTGAGCTGCCCCTGCCCTCCACCATTTCTGGTCCCCAGCCACCTATTTACATTCTCAGTCCTCTCTCAGCATGATGCTAGCACAAAGTGGTTCTTCCTAATATCCAGATTGGATGTTAGGAACAATTCCTTCACCAAGAGGGTGGTCAGGCATTGGAACAGGGCATGCTTTGCCTAGAAAGGTTGCATCAGATGATCCTTGAGGTCCCTTCCAGCCTGGTGTTCTATGATTCTCTGAACCTCTCTTCCATGAAGAACCACCAAACCCTAGGTGAGCTTTCCCAAGGTGAAAGCCCCTCTCTGATGGGTATTTAAAACTTGATTCAATTCTGTGTAAATAAACCTGCTCAATAGAACAACCACGCACTAACAGTGGAGAGGACCTCTTGACCTACCAGGTTCTCCGCTATTTAATTGCTACCTTCCAGGATTCAGCTTCTCTCTCAGCATTTCAACCATTTTATAACATTCATATTTATGGCCCCTCTTGACATAACATCTTGTACGGAATGGGATGTTGTCTACTCTTGCCTCCAATTCCACTGAGTGCACCTATCCCTTGAGGCCTGGTAATTGCAAGTACTGATTGGGGGTGACAGGATTTGCTCTCACCTGCCTGACAGCTCTGCCAAAGCAGCCTAATACTTAACTCCAAAATCAGCTTCCAAAAGATGCATCTTGTGAAATAAAGGGAGTAAAGAGCAACAAGCAGGAAGACTCACATGAACAGTTCATACTGCAATGCTAAATCAAACACAAAACATCCAGCAAAAGAAAACACTGATTTCTGTTCTTCTTCTCATTTCAACATAGTTTAAAATGAATGAATCAGCTACTTAGAAACCTCTTTCTCTAAGTAAAGATTTGGGAAATGCATCATACTTAGATTAGACATTATTTTATTATTTTATCACTTTATTATTTTATTGATATAATTATGATGATTGTTATAATTAGATTAGATATTAGGAAGTCTTTCCCTGTGAGGGTGGGGAGGTGCTGGCACAGGGTGCCCAGAGAAGCTGTGGCTGCCCCATCCCTGGCAGTGTTCAAGGCCAGGTTGGACACAGGGGCTTGGGAGCAACCTGCTCTGGTGGAAGGTGTCCCTGCCCATGGCAGGGTTTGGAACCTGGTGAGTTTTAGGGCTCCTTCCAACCTGAACCATTCCATGATTCTATGACAATTATGCCTCTCTGTGTATAAGCTTTGGCTGTTGATTTTCTAGAGACACTTTAATTCAGTAGGGTTTCCTTGTTCTTTCTTTCTTTTCTTTTATTAAGAGTCAATCTCCAGACTTTGTCATTGGAATGATTTTCATAAAGCACATCTGGTACCTACAGCTGGTGACTGCATTTATACAGGACTGAAATGGGCTGAAAGGTATGAACTTTTCTATCCTTCCTGATGATGGCTGCTTTAGAGGCCTATGTGATACTTTAAATGTCAACACTGTGAGCCTTTTCATGGCAGGTAGGAAAAGCAAGTAAAGAAGAATTCAGATTAGGAAGATTTACAAGCAGGGGAAGGCAGGAGTGCCACAAAAGGTCAATCAAAGAAGGTACATTGAGATTCATAGACTTTTAACACCACTTTTGCAAGGCTGTGACTATAAGGAAGAAGAAGAGAGACAAGATAGGATCCAAATTCTAAAACAAACAAAAAAATACAAGTAAAAAATTAAATGGGGGATGGACCCAGCTTTCAGAAATTGCATTTGAAACAGAGACATCCAGGGATTCTATTTGAAACATAGATACACTGCAGCAACCAACCTTGTGCTGAGTGTGGCTGTGACTTTCCAATGGTAATTACTAGGAGTGCTAAAAGCCATGGGGGAGACTGGGAGCTGCCAGAAAAATGATCCCTTTCTGCTCTTGCAGACAAAACACACACATAAATTTCATAGTTTTAGACAAGTTACTTGTGGATGGCTCTGCCTCACATATTTTTGGTATATATTTGGGGACTGCTACACTCCCGAGTCAAAAGACAGCCGGTGTGTGATTCATTTGAAGGGCTAGACCAGGGTGATGGAGAGTTGTCTATGAGATCTGCAATCCCTGACAGCTTCTAATAATTCATCCTTATGAGCAGTGGAGAAGAAGCCTTCCAACAGGCATTACTCGTTTGATTGCAAAGGACTTGGCTGAAACCACTCTACTTTACCTTTGGAAGGGCTGGCCAGATGCATTAGGTGCTTTCCCTGACAGAGCCTGACGTAGTGCACAGAAACGTCTTTGGAAAGAAGCTTCTTCCTGATAAAGAAATATGAGCAACTTCAGACAGCAGCTTAAAAGTATATATGGTAACTTAATTGGTTATGATACTCCTCTCCTTCGCTAAGGCTCCAGAGTGTATGAATTGATAGATTCTGGGAAAATAGCAGAGCTATATTATAACTAACAAGGTGCTAAATGTGATTCACCAGTCTACACAGATTCAATTTTAGGTTGAAATCCTGCTACCTTTGAAAAAATGAAGATCTTTACCTCCAGTGAAGCTCCATTTCTTCATAGTAGTCAAAATGTGCGAGGAGGTAATAGGAAGAAATACATTCAGAGAACTATGTTTGATGCATTCCAACCTCCCAGTATGTTAGAGTAGGGATAATTCTAGCTATGCTGTTGTCTTTTCACTACCAAGGGACTGAATACAGTCAGATTTGCCTCTGCCTCATCTTAAATACATTGTCTCCTTTCTCCAGCAATGCTTTACCAACTCTGTATCAAGCAATATCCCCCTCGCCAATGAAAGAACTCATTGCTCATTATATCTTCACTAAAAGAAAGAACCTTCTGCAAGTTTTCATTCGTTTAAATGACTTTGTACAATGAATACACGATGATCTCAGCAGGAAAATGTGGTCCTGAGTGTTATTAACATGTGCTGTAGGACAATATAGTTCCTCAGGTCAGACAAACACAGCAGCAGCATGTCCTTAAATACATTAACATGTACATCACGAAGTTATTAAATTGTGCTTTCTTATCAACCAATAGCCATTGATAATTATCAATTTAATAGCTAAATCACATGTAATAGAGGTGTTTTGTCATGGTAGATGCAATGAAAGAGAATATGGTAAATCTGTGGAATGCTCACATTACGACTGGTGTGGATTCCTTCACTTTCTTTCATTACTTAACACTAAGTAAGGCTCTCCTTAGGTGCTCACCAAGCTTGTGCTTTGTTTTGCTCTCTTTTGGTGAAGATACAGTTCTCACCTTTATTTCTGTGTAGATTACAGTTGTAGACACCTTTGTGTTCATACCTGGTACAGTTAATTACAGCCATACAAAATTGGCATGCTCACAAGGGATAAGGCTGCAAGGAATCACATCTACTGTCTATCCCTGAGCAGCAGATCCTGCTTCTCATATTGCTTGTGGATAATTCCCATTGATTTCTTCCTGGTTTTGATTGTCCAGTTCTACACGGTGGGAGTGGAATGTGGTTACTGCAGTGACAGCACACAATTTGGGTGCCAAAAGCACTATAATAATTTCCAGTCCCAAATGTAGCAGTTTAGACAAAATTTCACTTGAAGGCCACTGACATATTTACATTCTTCTCATTAAATATGGTCTAAGAGGCACCTGTGTTTCACCTGGAGTGTTTTACTATGTTGTCACTTCAGCTGATGCTGTAAAGCTTCCTCTGCATGTAAAAATATATTGGAAACTTAGTGCAGTAAATAAGGAAAAGGTATTACCAGCCCTGAACAAGGAGACTAATAAGAAAGAGCCTTGCAGCCACTAAGTAAGTGGAACCCAAGGTAAATGACGGCCCCCTTAGTCATAAACCACTTCTGCCTGACTTGACAAAATGCAAACTTTCAAAATAGGAATAAAGAAAGATTAAATAAAAGGGGAGAAAAATAAATTGCTGGGGTAGGAGCGATGGCAGAGTGCCACCAAAGTGAGAAATACTCTGGCTTCTCCCTCATATTAAACTAACAAACCTTGGGATGAAAGAAACTTAAGGGTGTTGGTCAATGAGAAACTGAGCTGGCTTCATTGTGTGCTTGCGCCCAGAAAGCAACTGTATCCTGGGCTGCATCAAAAGGAACGTGACCAGCAGGTCGAAGGAGGTGCTCCTGCCCCACTACTCAGCTCTTGGGAGACCCCACCTGCATCACTGTGTGCAGTTCTGGTGTCCTCAACACAAGAAGGACATGGAACTGTTGGAGCAAGTCCAGAGGAGGCCACAGGGATGTTCAGGGGCTGGAGCACCTCCTGTATGAAGACAGGCTGAGAACATTGGGGCTGTTGAGCCTGGAGAAGAGAAGCTGTGTGGAGACCTCAGAGCAGCTTCCAGTGTCTGAAGGGGGCTACAAGGATGCTGGGGAGGGACTCTTCATCAGGGACTGGAGTGACAGGACAAGGGGTGATGGGTTCAAACTGAAACGGGGGAAGTTCAGGCTGGAGATAAGGCAGAAGCTCTTCCCTGTGAGGGTGCTGAGGCGCTGGCACAGGGTGCCCAGAGAAGCTGTGGCTGCCCCATCCCTGGAAGTGTTCAAGGCCAGGTTGGACACAGGGACTTGGAGCAAGCTGCTCTAGTGGAAGGTGTCCCTGCCTGTGGCAGGGGTTGGAACTGGATGAACTCAAGGTCCCTTCCAACCCAAACCATTCCATGATTCTATAATTCTATGAAACATGAAAATGAACAACACTTGTGACGGTTTTGGAGCTCTGCATAGCTTGAAAGGATGCATTTCGTTTCAGAAAGCTGAAAGATGGGAGGTTCTCTAACCATACCTTTCTCCACATCTAAGAAAGTCTTTTTGAAAGCCTGGGAAACAGGGGCAGGGGGGTTCTGTTACTCTCCTCCATCTACAGCACTAATCCTAAACATCAGAGGTAGTTATAAATACAGAGATAGCGGCAAAATTGTAGAGCAAGTCATGGCTGCCAAGCCATCATTCATCATAATGACATCATAACCCTGGAATGGAACATAGTTTAAAGCATTCATTTTTCTTTCCCCCCTTCTCCTGTCATCGTCGTATAAAATGAGCATTAGCCACATCTGCTTCATAGCCCCCACTCCTCCACTGCCTGCAAGCAGGGTGAATGCCTGTAGGGAAAGTTCCATTAAGGAGAAGGAAAAATCCAGGAAGAGAGATGAAGCTGGAGTTGCAAGAGGTTATTTGAAATCCAAGCACGTTGTTGCATGTGTTGATTGGAAAAGTAAAAGCAGCTGAAAAATGTGCTTAAATCTGATCTCTGGCAGTTAGCACTAGATACACTCTGAGAGGCTCAGCTGGATGGGTTTATCCACTGCCACAGGATGGCGTTCACAAGTAATCTTCATTGTCCTTTTAACTGCATCTAAGTATTGCCACTGAATAGGATCATTTCATATCTTGTTGTAGAGCTGAAAGAGGATATTCAGCTGCCTTACACCAGTACACAATTGGATGAAATCAACTGGATGGAATCGTGCCTTTTGATGAGGGCCTGTAGGGATAGGCCAAGGGGAATGGCTTTAACCTGCCAGAGGGGAGACTGAGATGAGCTCTTAGGCAGAAGCTCTTCCCTGTGAGGGTGCTGAGGCGCTGGCACAGGGTGCCCAGAGAAGCTGTGGCTGCCCCATCCCTGGCAGTGTTCAAGGCCAGGTTGGACACAGGGGCTTGGAGCAACCTGCTGTAATGGAAGGTGTCCCTGCCCATGGCAGAGGGTTGGAAATGGAGGAGCTTTAAGGTCCCTTCCAACCCAAACCAGGCTGGGATTCTGTTTAGGATCAACAGATTTACTCTGGTGTAAAACTGAGCAGAAACAACAACTTGTCCTCTCATTTTAGTTTACCTGCCTCTTTCTCCTCAATCTGCCTTTAACTCTGAGGAACTGGTAAATATTGTTGGAATGAAACACAGCCAGAGAACAGGAGTCCATTTTTTCTGGAGAAAGAAAGGTCTGACATGCATTTTTTGCATACAAGTAATCATTTCTATCTAAGGTTAGAGTAAATGCTCCTTACCATAGACCTCAGTTGTGCAGCATGTTTCTCTGAGATGCCTCCTCGATAGCTTTTGGCAGAAGAGTCCAAGAACTCACTGACAAATGAAGACTGAATAGTTCCAGTAGTTACACCACCAGGTGAGAATCTTTGCTGCCGTAAGAGCTGTATTCTGGAAGCTGGGATGGAAAAGACATTCTGAACACCACTTTGCTTACAGCAAGCAGAAAGAAACCAGTTATTTGCAACTATCATCACCTGGCTTTTGGCACAGTTCTGGATTCACAAAAGATAACTCAAGAAACTTTTAAAGGATTGGTTATAAGGATATATATTGGATATAAGGAAGAAGTTCTTTACTGTGAGGGTGGTGAGGCACTGGAATGGGTTGCCCAAGGAAGTTGTGAATGCTGCATCCCTGGCAGTGTTCAAGGCCAGGCTGGACATGGCCTTGGGTGACATGGTCTAGTGTGAGGTGTCCCTGCCCATGGCAGGGGGTTGGAACTGAATGATTTGAAGGTCCTTTCCAACCCAAACCATTCAATGATTCTATACTGCTGGGTTTTAGCTACCAGAAGAGCTGATGTTAAAAACAGAGGAGATGAGGCTGGAGATTGGTGGCTTCTGTTTCAGGGACAGTAAATTGCTCACTTAGAAAGTGAGTAAATCTAAAGCCTCCCCTTCAGAGGTGCAGAGCTTCACACTGCCAAAACTTCAGTGGGATTTCTGGTGCCCAGCATCACAAATAATCAGTCTTTAACACAAATGTCCCTTTCCTCATTTGAAAAACACAAATAGCAACACATACTCCACAGGACTGCTGTGCTATATAATGAATAGTTGTAAAATACCAGGTTCTGTGAAGGAAAGCTGCTAATGCAAGTACAAAGCATTATCAGCTCAGAAATGGATTATCCTTCTGGTATAAAAACCTTTATAAAAGCAGAACTTATCTATTTTCTCCCACTATTTTCACTCTATCCGTGAGCAAAAGCTCTTGCAGAGCAGTTCATTAAAACCAGAATTAACAACCTAGCATAATCTCCCCCAACCAATCTTCCCCCTGCTACTATCTTACTAAAAATGTCCATATTAAAGCCAACCTTGGGGCAAGTTTCTTAAGATAAATTATTTCACAGCGTCCATAAGAAGAGATGATCCAGAGAAATAGGGTAGTTAAATTTATTTAAACACCTATAAATGAAGCTCTAAATGAATTTAATGGTGCATAGTAAATTTCAAAGTTACTTTATGGACCAGAGGATTACCAAAATCTAATAGTAGTAATGAAGTTTCCGTAACTAGTGACAAGTCACTCACTGAAAGCACTCAGAACTGCTGAGGAATACAAAGTCCTTTAAAGGAGCTTTCGACACATAAATATAGATCTTGGAATAGATCTTGGAAAATGCATTATATAAAAGTATTTTCTCTTTAATCCTCCCCTTTTTCTCTTTCCTGTTAATCTAGTTGGGTGTTTGGTGGGTTTTATTGCCTCTCAGGGTAAAACATCTCCAGTGTTTTTAAGACAAATAAATAACAATATACAGTAAGAATATCATAGTAAAAAAGGCAAGGAAGTCTGTCTCACTTCAGTAGTTTAAGATTAAATAAGACCCTGCAGAAAGGTCCTCACTGCTGTAGCATTGGGATGATGCAATATGTGGAGCAGCTTTTTTTCTTGCCCACTGGGAAATCAGTATTTATTAATTCTTTCAGGACACAGAATTACTTGAACTGATGAACTGATGAATTTTACACGATCCTTCATTAAAACGTTCAGACATTCTTGCCCTCCCTTCAGCTACTTTTATTTGCGGCCTTCTGTGCCACACAGAAGGTCCTGAATATTGGCTCTGTGTTACTCAGCAAACTGATTAACCCTCCTTTTGCAATGGATCTAATGAAGACAGCCATAAACCATGGAGGCTCTTCGAGTTGTCAGAGGAAAGATCACATAAATGAGCTTCTTGTTAGTCCACATTGCACAACTTCTGAATATCATAATATCTGTGTCTTATTTCTTCTACTCCAGTATTTTAGAGGTCATATTCTGCTTTCATCCCAGCTGGTAACCTGCCCTGTCTGGGCTAAAATCAAAGGTTCCAGCTGAGTTCCCACAGTATGTTAAGATAACCCTAGCTATGCTGCCTCTGACAAGAGCACTTCTTTCTTCCTTCCTCCACAGGCAGCCATAAACCTCCTCACTACACCCTTCCCTCCTTGAGCCAATTCTATAGCTCCAAGATTCTGAGCTGGGAATGGATCTGTTTGAAAGTTGGTTGGGGTGATTTTTCCTATCTTGGTTTTCAGATGCAACTGTTCGCTGATCCAGGTTACATATGACTGCACAACCAGAGGAGTGAGAGCAAAGGGGGAACTAGAAATGCATAGGCAGAAGTAAGTTGGGTATGTCTATCTACTTTTTGTGGCAGTGTGCACTTGGATGAGCTGGAACTAATCACAGGGCTCCAGCCTCAGTCACAGGTGATGGTTTTAAACTAAAAGAGAGGAGATTAGGGCTGGATATGAAGAAAAAATTCTTTACAATGAGTGGGTGAGGCACTGGCCCAGGTTGCCCAGAGAGGTGGTGGATGCACTGTCCATGGGGACATTCAAGGCCAGGCTGGATGTGGTTCTGGGCAACCTGATCTAGATGAAGATGTCCCTGCTTATTGCAGGGGGGTTGGACCAGATGAGCTTTGATAGTCCCTTCCAACCCAAATCATTCTCAGATTCTATGATTCAAGCACAAAAGGATTCTCTTAAATACACTACCAATCATTTGGGTTTACCATGCAGTAGATAGCCAGAAAAGCACTTAAAGTGGACTTATAAGTTGCCTTCACTCATCTTACTATCCTGGGTTTCATATACCTCTTTATGCTTCTTGCTGCCCTGGGGAAGAGGGTAAAGTAAGGTCTCACTGTCCTGGCATTTTCTTGCTGCTCAGCAGGTTGATTGGCACAAAACTCTCAGCCATGGATGTGTATCTCATTTGTGATTCATCTGGAATGAATGGGATGCCCAAAAGCATCCTTAAAAGAGTCAGGCAACTCACTTTCTGCATGTTATTGCCTCAAGACACACAGTGATGTAAAGAACCTGGAAAAATCTCCATTAAAGATTCGCATCCTGGGAAGGAATCAGCCCTGAAGACCCATTGCAGGGAAGCACACAGAGGTTTAGACAAGAGAAATCTTAAAAACTGCATCATTCAGATTTCAGTTCTTGTAACAAATAAATAGGAATCCTTTACTGATAAAAGCAGTTTTAGCAAGTGGCCAGACACAGTACCTGCTCCTACTCTGCTGTTTGAGTCCTGAATGCTATCAGCAGCTGCAGGTGGCTTCAAATCCAGGTATTCCCTTACGATGAAACTCAGTTCTCTGAATGCCTCATCCAGTTCATCTGCAGAAAGGGATATGCATTTCATGGCATAGAGAAAGGATGCATAATGCTAAAAACCAGCCTTTCATCAGTACAAAGTTACAAATCACAGAAGTCTGATGCAGAAATGCATTCTTAACCAGCTCATCTTTTTCTGGGGAGAAGTCTTCATTTTCATAAATGGCACGTTCAAGAAGATAATCTGAAATTTATCTCAGTTTCTGCACTCACCTAAACACTGTCCTTCTGCTATTTGGCTTTCTGTTTTATTTCTTTAATACTACATTTAAATTGCGAGCTCTATCTGCCCTTGAGAATAAGTACAAATACACTATTTCTTACCACAATGAGATATTTCACCGTGACTCTGGTGAACCACAAAAATCACCTCCGCAAAAGGGCAGACACAAAATGAAGTAGAAAAGGACCCTTCTTTTCCATCTGCCATCCTCAATTCCTAAGTAGCAAGAAGCAAATGTTTATTTTAATGGAATATCTACCACCCTTCCATTCCTTGTTCCAGGCTGGGGGACTTGGGCACATTAGGAAGCAGAGGAGTCCTACAAGGAGAAGCTTTGCAGGAGGCTCTTCCTTATAGTGGGACGTTGTCAGACTGCACATTGGTTGTCATTTCAAGACTTGAATAAAGCCTGTCTTGCCCAAGGATAACTAGGTCTGTTGGATCAAAAGCAGCTCTGTACTCTACCCAGAGACCAATAGGCAATTAGATCAGTTGAATATTGTCACAGAACACAATACTTAACAAGTGTGCTGCTGGGTTCAATAGCTGGTTCACTTTCTAGATGGGCTTAAAGCAAAACTTGGACATAGCAGAGTAATTCAGTGATGTGAATTCGGTGATTCTGACAGATGCCCAGAGTTTTTGGATTCCTGGGACAAGAATTAGCTGGGAAAATCAGTTAAGGGATAGTTTAAGCTGTTATGCTGAACATCAAAGCATTCGTCATCCTTAGTTTAACATTTGCCAGTGGCTCTGTTTGCATAGCAGTTTCAGTCCATCTGTTGGTGTGACCTTAGAAATCAGATTTAAAGTATGAAAAGAGATTAACTTACCTGTGTAGACAGTGGCATCAAAGTACCCTGGAAAATCCTCAGTCATGTTGATGTACATGTCCACTCTGGAGACTGCCTCTTCAATCTCTGACCTGCTGAATAGTCCTTTCCTCCGCAGATGCTCCTCATATTTCCCTTTGCTAAGTGGTACTAACAGGATACATCTGGGTTGAAAGTAGGTGTTTTTCAAGCTACGCAGACCCTTCAAATGAAGCAGAGAAACAAAATGTTTTGTGAAATTACTGTGAAATCAGTGCTAGAAACATTAATCCCATCTGCAGGTCTCAAAATCTACAATGCAACAAAATAGGCAAGTTCAAGGTGAAGTGCCCTAAAGCTACGTATGGAAAGCATTGTAAGAGTAGTATGACTTTGTTCTAAACACACTTTTGAAAGAATATTTTTAGTCAAATTCCACAGTGATTTAAAACATTGTGCTTCTCATACCCATCAGTTTTCTCTTTTTTTTGAGTCCTTCCTGTTCCATTTGGACCTAGTTATTCCAGATGTTATATACCTGAATGGAGAGCAGCTCTGCTCTGGAGCCAGGCTGAGAGAGCTGGGCTGGGGCAGCCTGGAGAAGAGAAGGCTCCTCAAGGGGAGACCTTAGAGCAGCTCCAGTGCCTAAAGGGGCTGCAGGAAAGCTGGAGAGGGGCTTTGGACAAGGGCCTGTAGGGACAGGCCAAGGGGAATGGCTTTAACCTGCCAGAGGGGAGACTGAGATGAGCTCTTAGGCAGAAGCTCTTCCCTGTGAGGGCGCTGAGGCGCTGGTACAGGGTGCGCAGAGAAGCTGTGGCTGCCCCATCCCTGGCAGTGTTCAAGGCCAGGTTGGACACAGGGGCTTGGAGCAAGCTGCTCTAGTGGAAGGTGTCCCTGCCTGTGGCAGGGGTTGGAACTGGATGAGCTTTAAGGTCCCTTCCAACCCAAACTGTCCTATGAGTCTATGATTCTAAATAAGCATTTTCACTGATTAATGTTATTGTGCAGACAGAGAGCATAACTTACATGTACCACTTGGCCTGTAGTTTTCCAGCCTGAACAAACTGTCAATTTTCTCCTCATTCTGTATATTTTTCTAAGTAAAACTCTGCAACTCCATCAGGATAGAGGCATATTTACTTGGCTAAAGCAGCTTGCAGTTTTACCCCCTCCCAAAACTGGGCATAACCACAAGTCCCCAGCAGAGGTACAACGTGCTCATTCTTCAGCTGTCACGTTGTAGACAGCCAAATTACAATTTTCATCAGCAGTAAGCTATAATGAAAAGGACTTGTCACATAAGAGCCCAGGAAACATTTACACGTGCCTTGCATCAACTCTGCTGTGAGGACAACAGCTCTAACTGACAGCTGAGGACTGCAAATACCTGTTATCATTTCAGCTAGATCTGAAAAGCAACCTGTCTGTATGCCAGGACTTACAGATAAAGTTTTACACAGTGATGTAGGTAACGGTATCAATCCTGAATTTCTGACAGCTCTCCTTTGCACCAACATACACTTAGAAGAGTACTTTATCTCTCCCTCTTGTCCTATCTACATATAAACCAGAATACTGAATCATGTAGCCTGCAATATGGTATTGCACTGCTGCTAACAGGAAGCTATAGTGGAAGGTGTCCCTGCCTGTGGCATAGGGGTAGAACTGGATGAGCTTTAAGGTCCCTTCCAACCCTAACCAGCCTGGGAGTTCTATGGTATCCTTTGACTCCTTGGCCTGAATGAGAGGATAACCTTCTATTTCTGGGAGCATAATGAGAACTATTAGCCACCCTGTTCCTTGTTTGGAACGTGCTCTACAGGTATTGGTGGCTACATGAGCAAAGAGAAAGCACAGCAAACGTGCTTACTCCAACACATAACCGTGTGTCAGAACTGCAGCAGCTTCACTGGCTGGAAGTGTAGACTCGGCACAATTTAACTGCCAGTATTTGTTTCAGTCTCCTTTATCAGTGAAAGATATACTCCAGATTAAAGGGAATGAACAGCTCTAAAGTTCTTGTCTCAGCCCACAGCCCATAATTAAAATTTCTTTTAATAGTGCTAAATCACTTTGGGTATGAGCCTCACAGAAGATAATGGACTTCTATAACTTCTATTCAGATACATAACTCACTGGTATTGTTTTTCATCTGCTCGCAGAGTCCACAGTGATACAAGACTATGAATAATTACTGCATGAGCTTGAAAGTTCGGTGACAAAGGAGTTTCTCAGCTGTCTGTCCATGGCAGTAGCTGCAGTAATACCTACTAAAAGTTATGGTCACTGCCTATGTCGCTGGGTTAACCTCCTTATGAATAAAAATGGTGTTCCTTAAAGTTCTTTCTCCTAAATTATTTGATAACACATCTACTTTGTGAAGAATTGACAGCTTTAAAAGGCATTCCATCATACTGAATCTCACAAACACACTCAATGACTACTGCAATCAATGGAGCCTGAGGGGAATTCACATTTCTGACAGGACTGAGGAGAAAGGGGAATGGAACTACACTGAGTTTAAGTTATTAATTTCTGTTTAAGATCAGCCATGTAACAGGCACTGAAGAGCAGGATTGCAGCATTAAATTGTTGACCATTTGGACAGGGAGCTACTTATATTATAGCACTGACATAGGATCATAGAATAGTTTGGGTTGGAAAGGATCTTAATATCACCCAGTTCCAACCCCTGCCATGGGCAGGGATGGCTCACACTAGACCATATCACCCAACGCTCTGTCCAACCTGGCCTTGAACACTGCCAGGGATGGAGCATTCACCACTTCTCTGGGCACCCTGTGCCAGTGCCTCATCACCCTTATAGGGAAGAATTTCTTCCTTAGATCTAACCTGAACTTCCCCTGTTTCAGCTTGAACCCATCACCCCTTGTCCTATCACTGAAGTCCCTGATGAAGAGTCCCTCTCCAGCATCCCTGTAGGCCCCTTTCAGATATTCAATGCTGCTGTTCTGTTATTTGCACATTTATATACAAGCCAGTAAACACGTACAGATTTACTTGGGCCAAAGCAGACTAAAATTCCTCATGAACACTCATGTTCTTAACTGAAAAACTATATTTTGGAGCATCAGTTTCACAAACAAAATAATCACCCTAATATGAAATTTAGCCTTGATTTTTGCTCAATTCTCCTTAGTCATTCCCCTAACTATGGATGCGAAACTTAAGATCCTATGGTAGCATTGCAGTCTCCCACCTTTCTTTCTATCTCTGTTCTTTTTCCCCATCTATTCTGAAGGTTTGTAGTGTTTGTTAACTCACAGTAAACCCTCGGAGGTAGAGCTGAGCCTTACAAACACAGTGAAACCCAGCAACACTCAGTATAACATTCCAGGTGCTCTGTAGAGTCCCTCAGTTTGGTAGCTCATAAAGATGGAACTTGCTATGTAGGAAGAATTTGGAAGGAAATGTATCCTGCCTTTCCTTTTTGTCACCTCAGCCCTTCGCTAGTAAATCTTGTTCTAAGATAATGAGGAGTAGATAATTAGAAAATGAGCTAAAAAGTTATCCTTTGGGGATCCTAATAGACGGGTTTTGACACTCTGTTTGTGACCCAGTTTTCTAACGCAGCGGGACTTCAGAGATTCTACCATCTGTGCATGTGCACCTGACACATCTCAGAGAGGATAAAGTCATCCCTCAAAGAGATTGCAGCTTTTAATAGTTCTGCCCAAAATATTGCCTCAGGCTTGCATGCTGCCTCCGTTGCTTCAGCAGCAAAGGAGAAACACGGCATTCTTGTAGGGGTGATCAGGAGACGTGCAGCTCTAGACTAGTCCCACTATAAGCTGCAGATGGAGGGAAAGCACAGGTTGAAAAGCTGAGGATACTGTCATGGGAAGTGCTGGTGATGTGGTGGGGAGATGAGGCTGCTGAAGACTGGAAAAACAGGCCAGAAAACGTTAAGAAGCCAGCAGAAGGATCCATCTGACTAAATGTGGGTGTCCATAAACAGAGTGGTGAAGGTTGTGTACAGACAATGGAGAGCTACTTGATACGGGCAGTGGAGTTCAAAATGCAACTCTGACCAAATAACCATAATTCCAGTCACTGTAATTAGCCCACACAACTAGTTCAAATGTATCAGCAGCAGCTGTAGGCTGGGTAGAAGGCCTTGGCGTGTCTCTTGTGTCACTAAGTGGATATGCCTAGGCAGCTGAAACAAACCTTAGTCAAACTGCATGAATTCCTCCCCAGGACAGGTCCCACAGAATCCCAGACTGGTTTGGGTTGGAAGGGACCTTAAAGCTCATCCAGTCCCAACCCCCTGCCATGGGCAGGGACACCTTCCACTAGAGCAGCTTGCTCCAAACCCCTGTGTCCAACCTGGCCTTGAACACTGCCACGGATGGGGCAGCCACAGCTTCTCTGGGCACCCTGTGCCAGCGCCTCAGCACCCTCACAGGGAAGAGCTTCTGCCTAAGAGCTCATCTCAGTCTCCCCTCTTTCAGGTTAAAGAATGACTCAATCAACAATGGTTAAGCAATTAGCAATCCTTACCTCTAATTCTAATTCAACACAAGTTGCAAGACCCTCTCTGGCAATTGATTCGATCGTGTCTCTTGCAAGTCCGTAGGAATAGCCATTGTATTTATAGGTTGCTATAAACTGCCCCTGAAATTCAAAACAGCAGTTATGATGAGACAAGAAATATTTTAAGGGAAAAAACTTCCTTAAAGGAGCATAATCACTCTGGACTTCCTTGTTTTTATTCCCTACAAAGTTTCTCCCTGCCTAAACCATCAAGGATAATGAGGCCAATGGGAACACACAATTTGCAGGGAAGAGCACGTAGTCATTCCTGCAGGGCATGCGCTTGTACATTGTTCATAGATAATAAAACACCAGTGTCTTGAAAACAAGCTGCTGACAGGTTACAGCTTTCATTGGTTATTCATTTACACTGTAAAGAAAGCGAGATCTAAAGCAAGGGGCATCCTTCTTTTGACATTACATCAAACCATATGGCCATGCCATATAAAAGAGAAGATGCCAAAGAGAGGACAGAAACAGATCTGCAAGGAGAATGTATAATTGGCCAAGAAATTTCAAAGTTAAAACCTGACAACTTAAACTTTGCTTCCCATTAGTACATCTAGAGAGATGTAAGCAGATTATATGCTTTTCAAATGAAACTATTTGATTACTAAGAGTTATCATTTAGGAGCAGATCAGTTGCTTAAGACTGTGTTGGCTGCCCCATTTGTATACATATAAATAATGAGCTCTGTTGTGGCTTTTCAAGCCAATGTTTTACTGCAGGCAGCAAAAGGCATCAGAAACAGTGGCTGGAGGCACATTGCCTTCAGAGAGAAACACAATGCCTTCAGGGTGAATGTGCTAAGCTTTCAAAGCCTGCTTTCGCTGTGGGGTTGCCGGAAGATTTGGAAATAACAAGGAAAAAGGGTATCAACTATTTAAGGAGTTTTTCTTCCCTGCACACACGTATGTGTACATGGAAATAAGTTTATTTCGACATTACAGTACTGTTCAAAGTTTCCTACTGATCATTCGGCGCATTTAATGGTTTCTCTACATTCATACAAGACAGAATAAGTATACAACGATACAAGAGATTTGTGGTTTCCATCTGTAATCTTTAGCTACATGACTGTGAGTGCATAAGCCCACACACACAAACTTAATATAATAAAAATCAAAACCAGAGCAGTCATAAAGCTGAGGTCACTCTGGGTGTAGGAAATGGGCCTGCTAAGATACTAGTCAGGTACTTACCATGTTCACCATTTTGTCAAATTCTTCTTGAGTAACGAAGTAGTAATCAAGTCTGTTTTCTTCTCCAAAGTAAGCTTCCCTGGTAGTGTGACAGGGACTGGAAGATAGATGGTATAATAAAGAAATAACCTGCTTTCAATCATAGAAGCAACTCTGGAATTGGAGGGGAGAGGGGGGAAAGGGAGAATGCTACAAATCAGTTTATTTTGAAGAAGAGAAGAAATACGAGGTGCAAATCACAGCACTAATGCTGCATATTTGAAAGATCAACCCATAAATACAAAAAGGAAGTTTCAATGTAACATTACGTTTTGGCTATAAATCCCCTCCCAGCCCAGGGTAGCCTGAACTGAAGCTGTCATAGCACCCTGTAATAGAGAAATGATGAAACCATTTTTTTCCTACTCATGTCAGCTTGTGGATGATATAAAGTAGAATCCTAAATATGGGAAAGGAGACTTAAGAGTTTGGCTGAACTGAGGTTAAGAAAGAGATTATAGTGACCAATCTTTAAATAGACTGCTAATAGTAAAGGGAAGAAACAACCTTGAAACGAGGGAGAGAAGTAGGGTACAAGGCAGGAAAAGTAATTACCTGCCACCACTTAAAGACAATAGGATAAACCTCAGGTACGTGAGCTTACTACCAGGATGAAACACTAAAAAAGCCCTAAAAAAAACTCAAAACCTCCATTATAAACCAGTTATAAACCATTAAGAAGTTGTGCTGGTTTTGGCTGGGGTAGAGTTAATTTTCCTCATAGCAGCTGGTGTGGGGCTGTGGTTTGGATTTGTGCTGGAATCAGTGTTGATAACGCAGGGATGTTTTAATTCTTGCCGAGCAGTGCTTCTTACACAGCGTTAAGGTGACACGTTCAGTGACATGGTTTAATGGTGGCCTTGGCAGTGCTGAGGTAAAGGTTGCACTTGATGAGCTTAAAGGTCTTTTCCAAACTAATAGATTCCGTGATTCTATGATTCTAAGGCCTTTTCTGCTCCTTGCCCTACCCCACCAGTGAGGAAGCTGGGGGTACACAGGGAGTTGGGAGGGGACACAGCCAGGGCAGCTGACCCCAACTGACCCAAGGTATATGCCACGCCATATGGCATATAAAGCTGGGAGAAGAAGGAAGAAAGGGAGGGACATTCAGAGTGATGGTGTTTGTCTTCCCAAGTCCCCATTATGCATTATGCAGCCCTGCTGTCCTGGGGATGGCTGAACACCCCCCTGCGATGGTTTGAAGGTGCTGAGGCACTGGCACAGGATGCCCAGAGAAGCTGTGGCTGCCCCATCCCTGGCAGTGTTCAAGGCCAGGTTGGACACAGGGGCTTGGAGCAAGCTGCTCTAGTGGAAGGTGTCTCTGTCCATGGCAGAGGGTTGGGACTGGATGAGCTTTAAGGTCCCTTCCAACCCAAACCAGTCTGTGTTTCTACGTGGTGAATGAATTCCTTGGGTTGCTTTGCTTGTGCACAGCTTTTGCTTTTCTTATTGAACTGTTTTTATCTCAATCCACGAGTTTCCCCACTTTTACCTTCCAGTTCTCTCCCTCATCCCACCGGAGACAGTGTGAGTGAGCAGCTGCATGGGGCTGGGGTTAAACCATGACATGAGTTTAGTCAATGAAACAGAGCTTGTCAGATCTTCACCACCACAGCATTTAGAGGGTGCCACTTTCTTTTATATCAGCAAGCTATGACAAATGGGAACAGTGTGCTACACATGGGTTCTAAAACTCCACTTCAAAGGCCTGATTTTCTTTAAGATATTATGAATGCATCGAGCTTTAAAGGTCATTCCTAAGCACCAGCCAGATGGTTGGAGGGTCCAATTTCACTGGGTTTTCTGAAACACTTTTCTACATTACAACCCTTTTGAACTGCAAGGCCGTGTTTACATTCAAGCTGCCAGGGTTTCCTGCGTGCAATACATTTTTAATGGGTGGAATGTTTGAAATCTAAAGGTAGAAGCCAGAAAATCGCTGAGATCTCCCCTGAATAATTAAAACACAGCTTTTGCTTTATGGTTGCAATTTTCTGCTCTGTTAAGATTCCCTTCTCTCTCTCTCCTTTTTTTTTTAGTTTCCCCTCATGCATAAAGCTTTTAGAAAATAAAATGCATGGTAGAAAAACAATGCTCTTAAAAAAACCCTGCACAGCGCTTGGGAAATTTCAATTGGCTTTCAATTAGCTTGTCATTTCCAATGTAGTCGTTCAAAACGTTGTCGTTGCTTTAAAGAAGGGTAAAAAGTCCTTTTTCCAGTCATGTAATCTTACAATGCCCTTTCAACTTGCCAGTTTTAGGACCTAAACCAGCAAGTGGCTACCATCTGAGTACAGAGCAGACAGAAATACATATAGACCTCTTCACCATCATGTGCTAGAGAAGAAGGCTACTACTAGACATCACACTGACATGCAGAACATAGTGCTGTGATGATAAGAACTTTTGAGGTTTCATTCTTATATATGTATGTGCCCATGGTCCCTTTCTTGCAATTCATTACCTAAGAGTGCACAAACAGAGACCCAGGTTCTACTGTGGCAATGTATCTGAAACTATGGCTAAAGTTTAGTTGAAAATGAAAGGAGAAATCAATGTAATAAAAGAGAAAATAGAGGAGAGACAGTCTATATAGGAATATAGACTGGTGCTGAACAGCATGTGCTATAGGACCGATGAAAGTCAGGTATTGTGAATGGGTGGACAAGAGAAACAGCTTGCATCACCTAATTTTAGGCATCAGATGGTGACCATCTAAGTCAGCCAGACTTCCTACCTCCTGTGCACTGGAAATATGTAGATACCTCAGGGAAATGATTCACAAAGGCTGAACCTCTCTTGGAAAGAGACAGCATGTGCTATAAGACCTATGAAAGTCAGGCATCTTGAAGAATGGAATGGGTGCACGAGAGTATCAGCTTGCACCACCTAAGTTTAAGTACCAGGGAGTGGTGATATAACTTAGCCAGGCTTCCTGTCTCTTGGGCACTGGAAATAAGTAGGTGCCTCAGGGAAATGATTCACAAAGGTTGAATCTCCCTTGGGAAGGGATAGGTTCTCTCCATTAAACACACAGGGAGCCCAAAAGGATCAGGCCTTTCAGATAGGGAGAATTTGTCCTCCGAGCAGGTGGGGAAGTCTGAAAGGTGCCATTTGCTTTGATAACACTACTCCCAGGATAATAAACTGGTCCAGCAACTGCACTTGCTTCTTTGCTTAGCTTCTGGATGCCCTCAGCACGTGCATGCTAATGCATTATATGCAGGTACAAGAATAAAGAGAAATGCATATGTATGTAAACAGATGCTTTGGTTGAGGGGCATTAGTGAGCAGAGAGGGAACAGATCAATAAAAGGAGCACTAAATGACACTTTGTTTGCTGTTCACCTTTGAAAAGAGCACAAGCATTTAAATAGCTTTTCTTTTAAAGAAGTATATGGTGACTTCAGGCAATCAAGCCCTGGGAAGAGATAAAATGCAGAGCAATGAACATTTATTGTTTCTCTTTAACTTCTTTATAAAGAGAAACAACAGCCACCAAACCAGGAGCAATTCTAGCCTGGATCACTTGGTGGTTTCAACTTAGGGAGCAAACTTACCCAAATCTGAAGAAATTGTTGAACTGCCTGCAGATCTTGTGAGTAAGCTCTCTCTTACCACAGGCTACAGGACCAGCGAACACCAGCATGGGGTAGGGAGTATCAAGAGAAGGTAAAGTGCTACAAGGAAGGAAAATAAAGGAGCTGTCACATTACCTACAAATGAAATCTTTAGCAACTTTGTATAAAGCTTCTACAGAGGCTTTATCATCATTTCAACTAATCTCATCTGTCTATCACACTGTTCACATTGTTCGCCGTGTAGACAACAATCAGGAGAAGCGTGTGCTCAGTTTGATATGCTCTAAACATAAAAATAGCACAAAATGCTGCATTAAAGACCCCTGGGTCTCTTTTGCCAAAGGAATAATGTTCTATCTGCTATAATCTTTTCTGATTTGTAGCCTTTTCTAAAGCTCCCTCTGCAGTCACAGTGTTGCTGGGATATGTTTAAGAGTTTTCCAAGTCTATTGCAGAGCTGGTACTGTTTTAATGATGAGGATAATGAGCTTAGCATGAACCTGGACTCAATCCTACCAACCTTTCCACGCTCCTGCATGGAATCTTGCTGACTTCCATGGCCCTGCCAGATGAAGGCGGTGATTTGTAAAGGACTCTACAATTCAATACAAGGAAAACCGCTAAGATCCACTGAACACAAACACTGTCACACTAAAAGAACCCAACGTGCTACAGAAATACAAAGCCCTCCATTTTCTCCACGCTGAGCAGATGGTTAGAGCCTCAGATTTCCACTTCCAGCTGTAAATACTGGAATGAAAAGCAGTTGTGTGCTTTTGAGTGTCCAGCAATTTATGTAGACAGCTAAAAATGGAATGCAACTGTGGACTCCCATTTTTAACCCTCAGCTAGATCTTCTGATGAAGCCACTTGATAATACGTCAGAAATAGTTAAAATAGCTCCAAACTCATTTATTTTTAACTAATAAATAGTTTAAATAAATTTAAAGTGGATGGAAACAACCTATGTGTAGCTTCCATTTAATGCAATTTAAGCAGGTAAAAGCAAATACCTGAAACCAGAGCATATTTCTTTTACCTTTTCTAAGGAACTAAGAAGTAACGATAACCATTGAACACAAGCATGGAAGAGAGAGATTTCAAAGTAATGGCTTTACTCCTATTTTAGTATCAGCAAACCACCTCTATTATCTACCAGACTACTGGTATATAATGGGACTTGATGCTTCAGAAGCACTGAGATAATAAGGAAATTGAGCCTCCTAATTCTCTATGGAGTACCAGCCTCACAAAAGACACAACAGATACACCTAGTAAATTAAAGAGACTGGATAATCTCTGTGCATATGAGCTGTTACTAAACTGTGAAATGAACCCAGATCCTGGTTCATGTTCCATCCACTAGGCTATTTTAAAGCAAGACAGTAGCAGAACCCTTAGGATATTTAAAGATTTTTTTTTTACTTACTGTGCTGTTTAGTGTCATTTACAAGATATTAGACAATATAAGCACAAGTTTGTTAGCACAATACATGAAAAATACTGAAGAAGGGAAAAATACACCTTAAAAATCCCTATCTGAATGTATTCAGTTGTGACATTCTGTTCAGTTCAAAAAATAGCTTCCACCTGTCATGATTTTTTAAGCTGTTAAGATTGTCTTTTCCCTTTTAACATATGTGGTGAGAGCAGCCCCGAGGAGAAGGACTTGGGGGTGTTGGTCAATGAGAAGCTCCCCATGACCCAGCTTCAGTGTGCGCTTGAGCCCAGAGCCCACCATGTACTGGGCTGCACCCCAGAGTGTGAGCAGCAGCTCAGGGAGGGGATCCTGCCCCTCTGCTGTGCTCTGGGGAGACCCCCCCTGCAGTCCTGATCCAGCTCTGGGGCAGCAGCACAAGAGGGACGTGGAGCTGTTGGAGCGAGTGCAGAGGAGGCCACGGAGATGCTGCGAGGGCTGGAGCAGCTCTGCTCTGGAGCCAGGCTGAGAGAGCTGGGCTGGGTCAGCCTGGAGAAGTGAAGGCTCCTGAAGGGGAGACCTTAGAGCAGCTCCAGTGCCTAAAGGGGCTGCAGGAAAGCTGGAGAGGGGCTTTGGACAAGGGATGTAGGGACAGGCCAAGGGGAATGGCTTTAACCTGCCAGAGGGGAGACTGAGATGAGCTCTTAGGCAGAAGCTCTTTGCCTGTGAGGGTGCTGAGGCGCTGGCACAGGGTGCCCAGAGAAGCTGTGGCTGCCCCATCCCTGGCAGTGTTCAAGGCCAGGTTGGACACAGGGGCTTGGAGCAAGCTGCTCTAGTGGAAGGTGTCCCTGCCCGTGGCAGGGGTTGGAACTGGAGGAGCTTTAAGGACTCTTCCAACACAAACTGGGTTTCTATGCAAAGACCAGTTTAAGGCAACATGATCCCAGAAAGTGACAGCTGTGGATGTTGTAAGTGCATTGTTATAGATGAACCACTTCAAAGATGGGAATTCCAAGAAATACTCTCGCTGACTAGAGATCCAAATTTTATCGAGATGCAGCAGAAAGGTTCTTTTCCTCAAGGCCATGCCCTTTGTGAATAACGATGTCAAGGCAGGTCTGTGAAGACAGAACCCTTATCTTCAGCATAGTTTAAATATATTCCCTCTCTTTGCATAGAGCTTGTTACATGCTTGCAAATGCAGAATTCCTCTGTAATCTGTTCTGTTGCAATGAAGTGTTATGTCAAATAACGACACAATATATCATTACTTGACATGCTTATACTCAGAATTCAAATTCTCTGAAGTAAATTTCCATTGCTCAAATTCCTCACATCCTCAAATTCCTTGGATTTATTATTTCATCAGAAGAACATGGAGAATATTTCCATAATCCTCTGTTGCATTACATTCCCACTTACTGGTTCTCAAAAGAGAAACTAGAAGTTTTGGGTTGCCTATAACTTGTCAGCAGTATCTGGGCTCATTTAATGAGCACCTTTCCTCTGTCTTTGGTGAGTACAGCAATAGACTGCTGTGCAAGATTAATAGATATCAAGGCCAGAAGGGACTACTGCGATCATCTAAGTCAGACTCGCCTCATCACACTGGCTGCAGGGTTTCCCCAAGTTAGTTCTTGTTGCAAGCCTGGTTCCTGGGGTTCTGTTAGAGTATACTTTAATTAAAAACATTCCAGATGTGGGGAATTCTTGGTAAATGGTTCCAATGGTTAATTGCTTTCATTACTAGAGAGAAGCATGCTAAAGAGGAGCATGAATGAATTGATCCTCAGCAGCCAGATACCAAGTCTCATCTTGCAAGACCCCACTGGCAGCACTGTGCACAGTTCTGGTGTCCTCAACCCAAGGAGGACATGGAGCAAGTCCAGAGCAGGCCAAGGAGGATGCTCAGGGGCTGGAGCAGATCCTGTACTGAGACAGGCTGAGAACACTGGGGCTGTTGAGCCTGGAGAAGAGAAGCTGTGTGGAGACCTCAGAGCAGCTTCCAGTGTCTGAAGGGGGCTACAAGGATGCTGGAAAGGGACTCTTCATCAGGGACTGTAGCTATAGGACCAGGGGTGATGGGTTCAAACTGAAACAGGGGAAGTTCAGGTTAGATATAAGGCAGAAGTTCTTCCCTGTGAGGGTGCTGAGGCGCTGGCACAGGGTGCCCAGAGAAGCTGTGGCTGCCCCATCCCTGGCAGTGTTCAAGGCCAGGCTGTACAGAGCCTTGGGTGACATGGTCTAGTGTGAGGTGTCCCTGCCCATGGCAGGGGGTTGGAACTGGATGATCTTAAGGTCCTTTCTAACCCAAACCATTCTATGATTCTATGATTCTACTCACCCAGTAGACTGAAAAGCCCCCTGTTACTACATTTCTGCTCCCCATTTAGCAGTTCTAACTATGATCAAGCTCCCTTTTAAAATGCCACATGCATGTCTAGTAGGGGACAAACCTCATATTGTTCAGTGGTGTGTTGCTGTGTAACTAAAGAACCAAAAGTCACACACAGACAGGGAATGGCATAAGGAACTTAATGTGAATGTTTTCTGACTGCAGACTATGCAAGAATGTAACTTTTTGCTTCATTTTCACTTCTTAATACAGATATTACTACAAATTAGTTAATTTAAAATGATAGCTGCAAATGAACTATATACTAAGCTGGTTCCAATACACATTTTAGAGTGTAGAAGTCTGGAACACATCCTCATTAGGAAGATTTCACTAATGACTCTGCCGTTTGCTTTCCAGCTGAGCATGGGCGAGCATTCAAAGCACCATTAACAATCTTGGTCAGCCCTGTCAGTGTTGGTCTGCACTGTTGGTATGTTTGTGCATACAATACCTCTGACACAAGACAGAATTGCTGCTTTCCAGCAAAGAAGATACACATACACAATCCAGGAAACAAATATTTAAATAGAGCCTATGTCTGCACTGGAAGAAATCCATGCCTTTAGGTAAAACTATTGTGCTTTCAGTTAAAGAAACCTCCAGCCCTGCAGAGCAGTAAATAAATCTTAGGAGGCTTCTTTAACAGGCTGCTATGAAGTCTCAGAGCTGTCACCACCCCTGGGATGGCTCCAGTCTTTTGTCAACAATCCCAGGGAAGAAAAGACTTGAAATAAAGTTATTCTAAACCTATAAGTTTCTGAGTTAATAAATCATGGATCTTAATTCATAGACTCACAGAACGGTTTGGATTGGAAAGGACCTTCAGATCACCCAGTTCCACCCCCCTGCCATGGGCAGGGACACCTCACACTAGACCATGTCACGCAAGGCCCTGTCTAACCTGGCCTTGAACACTGCCAGGGATGGAGCATTCACCACTTCTCTGGGCACCCTGTGCCAACGCCTCACCACCCTCACAGGGAAGAACTTCTGCCTTATCTGCAACCTGAACTTCCCCTGTTTCACTTTGAACCCATCACCCCTTGTCCCATCGCTACAGTCCCTGATGAAGAGTCCCTCTCCAGCATCCTTGTAGGCCCCTTCAGATACTGGAAGGCAGGTTCAGTGTATAGGGCTACTCAGTTATGAATTCAGATGTCCAAAATGGTGCTACAATGGGATGTGGGGACACTAAAGTTGATCTCAGTACCCACTGTAGCAAATATAAGAATAGATCATATATATTTCATAACATTTTCCATCAGAGCATATTCCAAGCACTCATCAAGGAAGCATCATAGCACACCTGCAGAGCAGCAAATTATGGCCATTTCCAGTTTCTCAATGAGAAATGAGACTGAGGGAAGTCACCTGGCATGCCAGTGGTGACACTGGAAAAGCACAATGATTTGCCTCTCCCATCTGTGCTTAAGTGGCAATGAGCATCATCTCCTTCCAAAGACAGAAGTAGCTGGAGTTCCCTAAGGAAAAACTTAAAAATCTCACCTTATGAATATAAAATGTGCTCCAAAGCCACAAAATAAGGTCATTTTGTTCTCAATGGGATGGCAACAGTATGAAGAGAAGGAGTAAGCAGAGCAGGAAGGAGCTGTGTTTTACAGCTCTCTTCTGCCTCTAGAGATTTTTCAAATGCCTTTGGGAATTGAGAGAAATTTTGCATCTTTCACTGATGGTGCTTGTGGCCATCTGTTTCAACAGATTGTTTAAAAGCAAAGGAGCTGCAGCCAATCTGTCTGAGCATTTAGAGGTGAATGACTGATTTCATTCCATAAACAATTCCAACCAAATAAGATCTGGGGAATGGGTTGCCCAGGGAAGTTGCGAATGCTCCATCCCTGGTGGTGTTCAAGGCCAGGTTGGACAGAGCCTTGGGTGACATGGTTTAGTGGGAGGTGTCCCTGCCCATGGCAAGGGGGTTGGAACTGCGTGATCTGAAGGTCCTTTCCAACCCTAACTATTCTATGATTCTGTAAGATTTGCCCGATTTCCAGCCTGCTAACTAACAGAATACCATAGATCGTCTCCTCTTCAGTAGATTCCTTTAGAGGTGGGAGAGGGACAGGAAAACGTCCCTCTGAATGTGACAACACATTGTGCTTTACATGAGTGCCACCCTCAGGAGCAGATGTGAAGTGGAAGGAAGCTTACCTGTCAAAGATCTTCTGGGGCTGCATCATGCCACGCATAACATGAGTCATGTGGTCTTTAGCAGCAACTACTTCTGGAGGAGGATCATATTTATTCACAGCAGCAACCTGTTCAGAGGCAAAAGAAAGAAGAGCAGTGATGTTAGGGTTTCCAGCTCCTATATGCTTAGCAGACCACTATGAATAATGGTGGCTTTGTATTTATGAGGGTCAGTCTTTGGATTTGGCTTGTCTGTGAGCACATCAATCTTTTCAGTAGTTTTAAGCTCAATTTGATGGATGGATGGAAGGCAGCCAGATATAGGTTACCACCTTTAATATAGCCACCATTTTACTGGAAAGCAAACAGGATGCCATATAAGATACAAAGTAATTTTGCTTAGGTTTTAATTATCCATTAATTTGCATCCTCTTAGTGCTGGTGGAAGATGCCAATGTAAAATCCATAGGGACTGAAGTCATTCATTTCTTTGTCAGAAGAGGAACAGAATGGGCATTAACAAAGAAACTGCACTTTTCTCTTGACAATGCATTTCTGGCTTTCCTGGAATGAGGAGCACTTAAACTCCAAGCATTCCCTCCATCCATTCTATTGAAAGCTCCACTGAGGGTACTGACCATTAATGGGTGGCATATTTTTTGGTGTTATTAATGCTGTGCATTCAGAATCAGGTTAAGAACTCCTGAGTCACTTCAGGTAAACCATCAAATATCAACGAGACAACACTGCTGCAGAACATCGCTGTAAGTTCTGATGAGAACCATGCTGTATTAGCCAGTAGTGTGGTACAGCAGAAGTGGATCTTTAAAGCCAGGTTTTCAGTACTCAGGACCCAATGTCCACACTATTTTGGGAGGAGTGGAGGAAGGGAGCTCATTTCACTTGACTTAGTTTGGTTTGAATTAATGGCTAGGAGCACCTTAGTTGCACATCATCTGGTTAAGGTTAAGCCCCAAAGAAGGCTAGTTCATACAGAATCATAAGATGGTTTGGGTTGGAAAGGACCTTAAAGCCCATCCAGCTCCAACCCCCTGCCATGGGCAGGGACACCTTCCACTAGAGCAGCTTGCTCCAAGCCCCTGTGTCCAACCTGGCCTTGAACACTGCCAGGGATGGGGCAGCCACAGCTTCTGTGGGCACACTGTGCAGGCACCTCAGCACCCTCACAGGGAACATATTGCAAGACTATTCCACACTGAGGCTCAAGCACAGCAAGTTGGGCAACCAGGGGGTTCACTTCAAAACCACACCAGGATAAGTGGGTGAATTACACCCTGGTATTATCCCTTCTCTGTGCTCAAGACAGAGAGAGCCTGGCATTCAACAAGAACTCTAATATTTATGCAGTCAAAGTTAAGAGCAATGAGTTTCCAGGAAGGATAATTTTAGAGGATATTTCCCTGAAATCCAACCCCAATTGGCAGCTGTTGATCCCAACAATTCTAGCATGGCTTGGGCCCAAATACTACATGCAGCAACCAAATTACAGTAAAAGCTGCACAAGAAGGAAAGGATTCTATTACCACAGAAGGTTTGGTTTTGGCAGAAGAATTTACAGTGAAAGCTGCATGGCGTAGAATGGGATACAAGCAGCACTTTAACTTTCAGAGTTCACTTTGCTGTACATGACACTAAAAAAACTCCCAACAATAGTATTCTAGAGATAGCACAGTGGTTATCACTTCAGAGTGTTTCATGAATGTAGTTGCCCATTTGGATTCACTAGCTGAATAACAATGGCAGCTAAGTAATTCTCTTCACTGAACTAAGTTTTTAGGTAAGAAGCCTTGCATTTTGACATATCCCAACTGCCAGAAATTCCATATATATAGAATCCCAGACTGATTTGAGTTGGAAAGAACCTTAAAGCTCACCCAGTTCCAACCCCTGACATGGGCAGGGACACCTTCCGTTAGACCAGGTTGTTCCAAGCCCCTTCCAACCTGGTCTTGAACACTGGATTTAAAAGCAGATGTCTGAATTTGTAGCTTATCTTGGGGGCTAAAACATGGGAGGTTTGTCACTCCCACATGGCTACAAAGCTGCATTTGCATGCATAGTTTTTAATATTCTTTATTTAGAACAAGTTCAGAAGGGTATACTATTTACATACCTTTTCTTTCACTGAAATCTTCTTGAGATCCAGTTCTGTTAGCTTGAGCAACATGAAAATCACTGAGAGCCAATAATCTGCTTGCTCCTGAAGGACAAAGTTTCCACTTTGACATAAAGTACCTAACTTCATCAGTCTAATATTTCATCTCAATCAGTTGAAATCGAATTGGCCTTAATACATTGCAACATAAAAAGCTCTTTGTCTGATGTCAATGCACCATAAATTCACACCCCACCACAAGCTTAGCTTCTGCAGCAAGAGTAAATAATTGTTCAAAGTCTCCAATTATGTTGTTCAAAAGGTCAGGATGGGAACTTAAAATTCACCACCGCATCCACTAGAACACCAAGAAAGACTGTTGGAGAATTAAAAGTGTTATCTATGCTGGGATTATAGAATCATAGAATGGTTTGGGTTGGAAAGGGCCTTCATATTACTCAGTTCCAATCCCCTGCCATGGCCAGGGACACCTCACACTAGACCATGTCACCCAAGGCTTTGTCCAACGTGGCCTTGAACACTGCCAGGGATGGAGCATTCACCACTCCTCTGGGCACCCTGTGCCAGCACCTCAGCACCCTCACAGGGAAGAGCTTCTGCCTTATCTCCAACCTGAACTTCCCCAAAGTTTGAACCGTTACCCCTTGTCCTATCCCTATGATAAGTTACATAGTAATATTACACAGTAATAAACTATGGTTAATAATTCTAACCTCAGTCATACTATAGGAACTTTAAAAGAGAATTTGCACTATAAATTTGTTATCATACAGGCTTTTAAGTCTGAGACAATAAAAAGAATAATTGAAAGTCAAATTAAAAAGCTGACACTGACAAGTTCATGAAGGTTCCTAGCTCCAAACCAGTAAGGTCCTGTTAAACAATAGAACAGCTGTCATAAGATGGTTGTTGCATGTATGAGTTATTAAAAGAGTAATTGAAAGGAATATGATGAGACTTTGCTTTGGGGAAGGACATCTGAACAGAAAAAGGCTTTTGGATTATAGAGGACCAGGGGCAGCCTATTTTGGGTATTTCTTACACGGTAATGTCATTGTGTGCCACAACACATGAAAGCCAAAGCAAAACTGGCAATTACAGGAAGAAGAAATTAAACTGTTAATATTTTTCTTCTTTCTAACATTGGAAATCGCTGTAAAATTCACATAAAATTTAGAAATCACAAGAGTCAGGAGGGAATCACCTTTTATCACCCAGGACAAATGATAAATGCAGAGGCAAAGTTAGAATTTCCTATATTTTGCAACTGTTGTTGTTGATAAAATAGATGTTTAATTCCTTGATTGAGGAATACTATGGGAGCCATAAATAAGAACTAAGTAAATCCTAGAGAAGAAAAGATGATACAGATTCGAGAGGCACATGATTTAAATGGGACATTATTATATTCCTTTGGGCTTTTACCAGGACAATTAAGTACAGACCTTCAAAGCAAAAGAAAAGGGAATCTTTTCCCAAACTAAAATCATGGAATGCTGTGAATACAAATTATAAATGGATTCACAAATTGAAGTAATCAATTCAATGGATTTACTGTGTTAAACATCATGATTCACATGCAGCTTTTGTTTAGACAAAGTTCCCAGACGAAGGTTGGTACCCATGACAGGGAAACCATCACTCAGGGTTTCTTGTACTGACTCCTTAAAATTACCTGGCCCTTGTCAGATATAGAAGCTGAGGCTAAAGGGGTTCTGGTCTGATCCAAACCAGCAGTTCCAGATTCTTATTTTTGGCTTCCTCTTACCTGTACAGGATTCTTTAACAGATTTAAAACTCTGAGGAGAGGCAGATCTTCAAGGTGCTTAAGTTCACTCAGCTCAGCAATCTAATTAGTGACAGAGAGAGAACATAAATCAGCAGCAATAGAATCCATGATAACTATGGGGGGGGGCAAAGGTATTTTAGTCCCTGCTTTTAAAATCTGGACATAAACCAACTTCATTATACTCACAAAACAGGTATGTATGTTAAGCGCATTCAAGAAGGCACTTCTAGCCACAAAAGGCAGAGAGCTTGTATGTTAGTTGGAGGAGCAGCACAATACAGACAGCAACTTCAAACCACCTGATTTTTTGCAGTTCTTTCAAATGTCAGGCCCTGACACATTCAGTTTTTATGTGGCTGATGTGCTTAAGTGAAGCAATTGTGCATTTATATTTGTGCTTTAGCTGACTGGCAAAAGAAAATCTTTCTAAGAAGAGTTTCTTTTCACTGCAGCTCAAGTTCATCCTACCCAAGTTGCAGCACTTGATTGAAAAGCATCCTCATAGCTGTCCTTGGCTGTGTGTGTCCAGAGGATGATGCCTTCCACTTAAGGTCTCCTCTATCCACAAAGGAAACCTGGCTTGGTTGCACTCAGGCACATCAGACAGGCATTAGAAGTGGGATTAATCAGAGGCTGTGTGCCCAAAACAAAGTCTCACTTGAGGCACTATAAATGCTGAGGGAACAGTTGTAAGGTTGTCAATTAAGTGCATCTAATGGAATTCGTGTTGCCTCATTTTAGCCATAGCATCACAGAATGGTTTGGGTTGGAAAGGACCTTAAGATCATACAGTTCCAACCCCCTGCCATGGGCAGGGACACCTCACACTAGACCATGTCACCCAAGGCTCTGTCCAGCTTGGCCTTGAACAATGCCACGGATGACATCTGCTAAACTAGCACAAACCAATACCCTAACCTCACTTTATCACTAGTGGAGAGGCAGTTCCAGAGGTCGCTGGATCCATGGTAGGCTGGGATTAATGGCCTTGTAATGCTTGATACCTATTCTCCCTCCACTGCTGAAAGCCTGAACTTAGAAGACTCCAGATTCTATCCCTATACTCAGTCTAAAAACACAAACCTCCACCATAGCCTACCCAGTATTTATTTAGGGATATCAAGAAGCCCACCATGAAACAGTTTTGACCAAGTTAAATGTCATTTGGGTGGATTTCATAAAGAAATCCTAGAATGCCAACTGTCAGCATCTGGAAAATCACTCAACATGTATAACAGAGACCTAGTTTGCAGATAAACCAAGCATTTGAGATCACACTGGGTGGTAGGAGCTCAAGAAACTCAGATCTTTCTGTGTTAATTAATCAAAATTCACTTTAAATTCTCTTTAAATTTCCTTCCTTCAAAAACCGGTGACTCATTAAAGGGTTTCAATAACATCATTAAAAGAGGCAAATTCTGATGAGGTAAAATTAATAGCTTTACATGCTAAAGAACAGTGGAAACTATATGAGGCAATGGTGGTGTTATTAGTGCTAATAGCAACCATACTATTAGTTAGTTTCCTGGCTTGTGCAATTGATGTACCTTTAAATGTCAACCTGAATACAGTGTGAGAAAAAACAATTCATAATCTTGTATTACATCCTGTAAATGTATCTTGCAAATGGAAGAAATGACAGAAAATTATCAATATAGTCAAAATATAAATAATATCCTGATTCATGTTTTTATGTCTTATTTTCTTAGACTTTTTCTTTCATGAGCAGATCCAGCTTTGATGTTAAAATGAGTCACGAATTTTCAGTTAAGTCTCCAGTTTCCAGTCTTTTCAGGCAAGGATGCTGGAGGATCAATATCAGTAGTATTACGTATATATGGCTTGGGTTTCAAAACTCAAACCCAAATGAGTTTGACTGTATCATTGTACTGCCAGTGGATACTGCTGCATAATGAAAGCTGCTTTATAATAGAGTCCATGAATTCTGCCCCATAGGATGTTTCCAGCTGGAAGGTCAGAAGAACCTGTGGTTGTAAAATTAGGCTGGGAGATACCAGGAAAGCTTCCTGAGGCCTGGCAGTAGAAAAGCTGTGATACAAGTAAAAAGCCTCAAGAATAATCAAGCTGGAAAAGCTGCACACTCATCCCTATCTTATCCACTCGGAAGAACACTTAGTTATTTATGTATGTGAGCACTAAATGCTACAGAAGTGATACCTACATAAAGATAAACCCATCCAGAGATCTAAAGCCTAAGGAGTACTACACTATCAACTAACATGTGAAGCAACACTGGAGTAGGAAAGGAAAGGAAAAATATAATCTTTTCTAATTAATTTCTTGCAGATTTTAAGATTCTTTGATTAAACCTTAAAAGGGATTGGATTTTAGAAAAAAAAAAATGATGTATTCTTAGAAAAAGCTATATTTTATATATATTAAAATCAAGTATGCTACCTGGTTGTCCTCTAAGTTGATCACCTGTAGTAGATCATGTTTCTTCAAGCCTTCTAGACTAGTTATTTTATTGCTAGAGAGGTCCAATGTCTGTAGAGCTTTCAAGCTGCCCAGCCCAGTAATCTTCTCAATATGGTTAAAGCTCTAAGAAGAAATGAAAGGACACAAACTGCTGATAAAGTTCTACAGACAGAAACCAACATGCCTGAGGAAGAACAGAATACCCTTTGTTATTGAGAATCCTATTACAAATAGGCCTGTTATGCATTAGCCGCATCTTCATCTTGAGATGACACATTACAGCTTTCCACATTGCTCAAGGAAAAAAGAATCAACTATCTCTGATTGACTTATCTTCAACTCACCTGGAAGAGCAACAAGAGACAACAGCATGAGAAATTGCTCCAGCATCCTTTTAAAGCTGATCCTAGCTAAAGGACACCCTTGTCAGTATCCGAATTAAAATGTAGAAAATAGTTATGCACATAAAATGACAGAATATATATACATAAATACATAGAATTTCCCTCTGCAATCATAGCTATATTTACACATGATTACAGAGTAAATAATCAAAATATGAAGGCAGAACAATACAGTAATGCCTTCTTTGGACTACTGGCAATCACTAGGATACACAAGTTTATCCTGATGCACACTAAGTGAAGGCAAACTTTATTTACTCTCAGTGACAGCATGCATAGGCATGTTTAAAACAACCCCCAAACAAACCAACCTAACTTACTCTTAGTTTACATAGATTCTAACACAAGAAATGACCCAAGCTTTAGTTTTAGACTCTAACACAAGAAATCCCAGACTGGTTTGTGTTGGAAGAGACCTTAAAGCTCATCCAGTCCCAACCCCCTGCCACAGGCAGGGACACCTTCCACTAGAGCAGCTTGCTCCAAGCCCCTGTGTCCAACCTGGCCTTGAACACTGCCAGGGATGGGGCAGCCACAGCTTCTCTGGGCACCCTGTGCCAGCGCCTCAGCACCCTCACAGGGAAGAGCTTCTGCCTAAGAGCTCATCTCAGTCTCCCCTCTGGCAGGTTAAAGCCATTCCCCTTGGCCTGGCCCTACAGGCCCTTGTCCAAAGCCCCTCTCCAGCTTTCCTGCAGCCTCTTTAGGCACTGGAGCTGCTCTAAGGTCTCCCCTTCAGGAGCCTTCTCTTCTTCAAGCTGAAAAAATGACCCAAGCTTTAGTTCATTAGACTCTAACATAAGCTTTTGAGAACTCATAAACAACTATCATTGTTTCCATTCTTCCCATACAAGGTACAAGACAGAAAACCTACATTTATCACTGGACACCAGATGGCTTTGTTTGTCAGGGCCTCACAAATCACATACTCGTTTCTGCTATGAACTCCAAATAGATGCAACATGCTGAAGTTCTGTACTCATCTTTGTCCCAGTGGCCACACACACCCAGATGGCCTCTCAACATGATTTCTTCTGGATAACCTTGCAAGCTCTATTTTGCCATCAGCATCACCTTGTGCTGAAAGCTTAGAAGCCTCATATTCTATTAATAAATATTTAGGAACTATTGAAATAAATAAGGCAGCTGACTCTAATGTGAATCCAGTTGTCTGTCCTTGACATTTTTCCTGACTTTTAAATGTTTAATTAGGTTATTAATAGCATGGAGGCTCCTTCTTCTCTTCCTGTTCTTCGTTAGACCTCTGGTTAATAGGATACAGCTCAGAGCTCGAGCTGCGAAAGGCTATGCAAGAGATGCACATAAAATCCTGTGAACTAAAGGGATTTGTGTAGAGATCTTTTTATTTTGCAAGGCATAAAATTCCTAAGAGCCCAGTTCATTAGAGCTGCACTTCTTAGTTTTTTTGCAAACATAAGCAGAATAAAGGCTCCTTTTTTTGGTATAGCTAGGCAGTATTTACAGGTTTTGATGTCTTTCTGCCAAACTTCAGACCTCACTACTCTTTCAACCTAAAAATCTCCAGGGAAAATGGAAAAGAAAGCTGAATCCATGGGACGAGAAGGGATGGCTGCTCCTATGAAGAGCTGCATTTTATTCTAACGAGTAAAAGGAAATGCCGTGCTAAAATCTGTCTATTTACATAATTTCCACATGAGGATGTGCTTTGCTAATTAAAAAACGACAAGCAGTTGTATAAATAATCGTATCAGCATGTAGGAACCCAACCTGAAGCACATGTTCATATTAATAAGCTTTAGCTGTTAACACAACCTCCAAAGCGTTTTACAGCAGATAACCCATTACTAGCAGAATTATTACTAGGCCTTTTAACATATGAGGAAATCAGTGCAGACAATAGGCGAGCCACTCAGTGTAGTTCTCCCTGAAGAAAAGATCACCCTGTCAGCTTAGATCTTCATAGTCTTTTAGGAATACTCTCATTTCAGAACTTTGAGACATGATTTTGCCAATCTGAGTTCATCTTATCCACTAAAAAGGAGACAAAATCCAGTTTTATTACCACTAAGGCCATAACTGAAGGCAGTATATATATATATATATATATGTGAAAGAGAGGCAGATTAAAAATAGGTTAGCAAACACTATTTGAATATATTATTCAAAGCACACTACTGTCCACTTTTAAATGTGACTCACAGGGGGCAGAGCCAGGAGAAGAGGCACCAGCCCTGAGTGGGTAAAAACCTCCTGGGTGGGAAAGGTGCACAATGGGCAGGGCTGCACTTGGAGCTCCTTGGTGGAGGTCCTCCTGCAGCAGGGGCTGAGCTGCAGGATGCTGTTAATAGACTGAAAGATGTCAGGGAAGCTGAGATGAAGCAGCACTGCTTGCTCCAAACCCAAACTGTGCAGGGGCCTCAAGCGTCCACTGTAGTTTTTGGAGGAAAGAAGGAGGCTGTTAAGCCAGGAAGCTGGGAATTAGTGACAAACCAATAAAAAAAGGAGGAAAAGGACAATTAAAAGCAAGGGGCTTCCTCCCAAATCTGTTGTCCCAACCCAGAACCACACTGCTGTCCTGCAGGGGACTAACGAGGAAATGCACTCGCAGCATGAACAACCGACTGGTGCACTGGGAAAGAAGATCTCTACTGGTACTGCCAGGAAAAAGCAGCTGATTGTAGTAGTAGGGGACTCTACTTTGAAAGGCACAGGGGCACCCATCTGTCGGCCTGACCTGGTCTCAAGGGAGGTGTGTTGCCTACCAGGGGCACGGATCAGGGATGTGGCAGAAAGGCTGCCTGCTCTAGTTAAGTCCCATGGACTATTACCCACTTCTAGTGATCCATGTGGGTGCTAGGGATATAGATAGTAGTAGCCTGGGGAACATAAAGAAGGACTACAGAGCCCTGGGAGAGGTGGTTAGGGGCTCTGGAGCTCAGATAGTCTTTTCATCAATTCTCCAGGATACAGGGGAGGACCTAAAAAAAGCTAGGAGGATTAGCCAGGTTAATAAATGGTTAAAAGGGTGGTGTCATAGTCAGGGGTTTGGGTGTCTTGAACAGGGGACCCAAGTTTGTAGGCCAGGTCTAGCAGGGGCTGCTGGAGCTGCTGTTTGGTAGGAGGCTTGGCAGACTTATCAAGGATGCTTTAAACTAGATATGTTAGGGGAAGGGGGCATCATTCCATCCCAACACACCCAGTCAGTTGCCAGCACCTATAATAAATGCTTGGAGCAATGTAGAGATATTCCAGCTGCTCCAGTCAATGAATCAGCTTCATTTGGAGCTCGGCTCAGATGCCCCTATACAAATGCCCGTAGCATGGGGAACAAACAAGAAGAATTAGAGATGGGTGCACGTCTGTGAGGGTATGATATAATATGCACCACAGAAACCTGGTGGGATGGCTCCTATGACTGGAGTGTTGGAATGGAAGGTTAGAGACTCTTCAGAAAAGACAGGCCTGTCAGACAGGGATGAGATTATTAAGGTCATTTTACAAGTATGGGGCTGAGGAACACTGAGATTAATGCCTTCCCAAGGCTTGCAGAATGAGTAAGATGCATGCCAACAAGTGTAGGCATTGATAGAGGTCTGTATTTGGGCTAGTTATCCTTGGCTACCTTCATAACCAACAGGCATGTCCAAGGCCTGATGCATCTTGTGCAATGGAGACGTCAGCAGCTGGATCAGAATAATGAAGTGTTTTAAGTGTCCATTTCTGTCCACTGACTTTTGAGGCAGCAAAGAACAAGCAGCTCAGGTGCACTCATCTGCACTGAAGCAATCTGAAGCCAGAGAAGATAAATCCCACTACAGCACCTAGAAATATAACCTAGAAAAGTTGTATTTAAACAAATATATTCTAGATCTCTTGATGCAAAGCTGGCAACACAAAACTTCCCATCGCATTACAAGAGCCTTAAAAGAGTAGATAAATATCCTTTAATAGTATAGCAGAATTGCATACTGAAGTTGACTTGTGTTCTAAAACAAAAGCATCTCAGTCCTCACTTTTCCTTCTCCTCTCCCAGCTCCCTGCTATCATCAACACAATTTTATGAGGAAAAAAAAAGAACTCAATTCATTGTTTGTACTGTGGGTCTTGCACAGTAACTTCTTACACGTCACCTAAGCAACAACAAAACCTACCCAGAGTAAATGTAAAGTATCTTTGGAACCCAGCTGCACATGGCCCTGAGCATCCTCCTCTGAAGATGTCTCTGCTTTGAGCAGGAAGCTGGCTTAGATGAGCCTCACAGCTCCGTTTTCACCCATATCATGTTATGATTCTGTATTAATAATCCAAATGTGTCCAGAATTACAAATATCTCTGAAAATATTTTAATGTAACCAACTTCACATTTATTAAGGAATTCATATAATAATAAAAGACAGGAAAATAACTAGAATTACTTCTCTCTTACCAGGTTGAGTATTTTGATAGGTAGGTTCTCAAGGCCACTGATTGCAACAAGTCTGTTGTGTGACAAACTAAGGTGAGTCAGACTGTGACACTTCCCCAGTCCTTGTAACTCCTCTATGTTATTAACTACACAGAGGTTTTTGCAGTTAAGGAAAAGAACTGAACATAAACCCTTAGCAATTAGCTGCTAAATTAGCCAATGGAGCTGAATTTTATGGTGTGGGGAGCTGGACATCAAATGCTTCATGATAAGGAGTTTTAAATCCCAGTTACTCACACCTACCCCTATTCTGGAATTTACTGCCTCCACGTTTGACTGACACAGCTTTTGGTAGGGCAGCAGGACAAGTGACACAAATCAAGATAGAAATATCCTTCCTCTCCTTTTAGAGAGGTTCTGACCTCTGATTGTTTCTGTGACCTGGTTTACTATGCAGTCCTTCAAGGTGGCATAACCAGGCTGATGGCAAATCGAGTAATGAAAATGAGGGAACAGGAGTTTAGGGAAGAAACTACTGCCAGCATCTTGAAAATCATGCTGTAAATCTCTGGTCTTCTTACCAGATGCGCATATGCTGGCTAAAACATAGGAGTATTTATCATAGAATGGTTTGGGTTGGAAGGAGCCTTAAAGCTCATCCAGCTCTAACCCCCTGCCACAGGCAGGGACACCTTCCACTTGAGCAGCTTGCTCCAAGCCCCTGTGTTCAACCTGGCCTTGAACACTGCCAGGGATGGGGCATCCATCTGAGGAAGAAAAGTTTGGGTGTGGAAAAACTGTTAAGCCATAAACATCAATATAAGGCAGCAAATTTCTTAGCTCTAAAAACTAATACAATCAGGTTTAGTCTTTTAATGACTTACTATAGTACTTTGTCAGCTGTTACTGCCAAAGCTGTCTCCTTCCCTGGTTTGGGGCAGTTTCCTCCTTAAATACTCATTTATAAACCTGTCAGGTGTGCTTGTGCATGCACTTGTCAGAAAAAAAGTTGCAATGACCTTACCATCTGCATCATAATTTACTCAAAGGTGTTAAGAAATGCTTAGTTACTGTCAACAAGGAATGCCTGCCAAACAGCTCTGCTACTGCATGATATTTAATATAGTATTTTCAGTTAGGATTTCAACGAACAGCTTGTTTTGTCTGCCATGTCTTCAGTGAGAAGTGCTTGACATGGGTTAGGAACAGTGCCACTTTGCTATTCTAAATCCTGCACTTCTAAATCCCACGCTCGTTTTCCACTCTTTCAGAGGCTCCTGTTGCAACTGTATTCCTGAAACAAGTTTTCCTCCCCATTGCAAATGAAGAAATGGAAGACAGCACACTGCTGCACTGAAAAAATACTGCTTCAGATGCACAATACACATCTGTGATCTTTCTTCCCTTTTCAGTTTGCCATGTGGATTTAGCTCTGAGGGAAAATTAGAATTGCAAAGGGATAGTGAGTCAATGCCATTTGCTGACAAGAATCCTGTCACCTGCACACCTTCTAAAACATGTGAATAATGTAACCTGGGCACCCTGCATGCGCTTTATCTGCTCCTACATGAAAAAGACATTGTATTAATATCGTTTGGGAATGGGATAAGAGACAGAGAAAAAACTGCCACAGCTTCTGTCTTTTCTCTTTCACGGAGTGGAAAAGCAAGATACAATTCCTGGAGCAAAGAGGAAAGGCTCACAAGCTCTCAAGAAGCAATTTGAAGCGATACAGCGCGTCAACATGAAACTCCAGATGAATTTTCAGGAGAACCTTTAGGAAGACCAAGAGTGCTATGGAAAACGAAGCCATGAAGAAACTTAATGTCCAGGTTCATGTTTATCTGATTTCTGGCACAACAGTGTTTCAAAGCCCACAAAGTGGGTACCACAGTGGGGACAGTGGGGAGCAGAATACCTTCATTCTGTGTACTTCTCTCAGTGCGTCCAGGAAGGTTTTCCTTTCTTAAGGATTCTATTCATTGTCACTAAATGGTCTTGTTCTCCAGAGAGCCTCTATAGTCCCTGTGTATTAGCTATGTTTAAGATTAAACAACATACACATTTTCATTTAGGGGAGCTTAGTCTTCCAAGCTGATTTCCTATTAACCTTTAGTACATAAAGATACTGGAATTATATATTATGTCTGCCATGCAAACACAGTGTGACATGTCACTGTTTCAGCTCTACATGATGCAGTTCCTCTAGTGCACTAAATCCTTAACATGTATACACAAATACTTTAAAACCCATGGATGCCCAAGTAAATTAAGATCAGTACCACCACCAGTGTGTCTTTCTTCTAAAGACAAAACTAACATGAAGAAAAAGGTATAAATGTGAAGCAAGTTCAGAAAACAAACAAGCAACTTTTCTCCCATTAGAGTTTCTATAAAGGATACAATCCAGGAAGAGTTTAGTGAGTGACTCGTATGCTGACAAGTTTTCCATTTTAGGTATTTGATTGTATGAGAAATCGACTACCTAAAGGAAAAAAGAGAAAGAAAGTTAATTTTATTGCAACAGCACATAGAGGTGTCTTGTAAAACAAAATGGCTTTTACATTAAACTTGTGATCAAGGGCATGGAAGATCATTAATATTAATTCAGGGAGAGGGGCCTTGGACAAGGGCCCATAGGGACAGGCCAAGGGGAATGGCTTTAACCTGCCAGAGGGGAGACTGAGATGAGCTCTTAGGCAGAAGCTCTTCCCTGTGAGGGTGCTGAGGCGCTGGCACAGGGTGCCCAGAGAAGCTGTGGCTGCCCCATCCCTGGCAGTGTTCAAGGCCAGGTTGGACACAGGGGCTTGGAGCAAGCTGCTCCAGTGGAAGGTGTCCCTGCCTGTGGCAGGGGTTGGAGCTGGAGGAGCTTTAAGGTCCCTTCCAACCCAAACCATTCTGGGATTAAAACTGGGATATAAAGAGAAAGGTTCTTTTTTTATGACACACAGAATTCACATTTTGAGAACTTCCAATACTATACTTTGTTCCAACAACATTACCATTAATGGTCCTGTAATTATCCAGACATATTAAAAAACTAACAGAGGAGACAGAGGAATATATGGAGTTTGTATTTCAAAATACCCTCTTGCTTTTAACAACCCAGTGGGCTACAAGAGACCTACAGCAAAGGGAAGACTCCCCCACAGCTACAATTCAAGCACATAGAAATCACAGAATCATAGAACAGTTAGGGTTGGAAAGGACCTTAAGATCATCAAGTTCCAACCCCCTGCCATGGGCAGGGACACCTCACACTAAAACCATCTCACCCAAGGCTCTGTCCAACCTGGTCTTGAACACTGCCAGGGATGGAGCATTCACAACTTCCTTGGGCAACCTGTTCCAGTGCCTCACCACCCTCACAGTAAAGAACTTCCTCCTTAGATCCCGTCTAAACTTCCCCTGTTTCAGTTTGAACCCATTACCCCTTGTCCACCTGGTACAATATGATTGGCACCAGTCAATTTGAAGGACAGGAATCAATCCCACTAAAGGTCTGATGAATTCAAGAAGGAGTCAAAAATTCTGGCTGTATTTACCTCCAGCTAGAACAGTTGGTTTTACAATACAACTTCCCATGGCATGCAAAGGTTCAGAGTGTGAGGGAAAGCAAGAGCCTGAAATGTCCAGCATGAAATACCCAAAGACTTGGAAAAAGCTATTAAAATGTCAAATGAGGTAAGAAAGAACAAGGAAGGCATAAAAATTCACTTTTGCATGTGTCCAAATACAATGTCTAAGTTAGATTTAGAAACGGGATAAATTTAAACCTACAAAATGCATATTTGGCAACTTACCTTGAGATTTTTAGGTGGTTTAAAACCAAAATATGTAGTCAATTCATTGTTGGAAGCATTCAGTTCTAGTAAGTAAGGCATGTAACTGACACAAGAAAGATCTAGTAACAAAACAAAAGGTCAAATCCTTTACTTGAATGCATAGGTAAATGCAGAGGTCATCATGTCAAAAAGGGATAGTTATCAAGAATGATAGCAACCAAGAATGAATTTGTACTTACACATTCGGAAAGTGATGTTTAAAGTGCAGATATACTAACACCTTCTACTAGAAAAAAAGACAGTTTCTAAACCATAGAGAATAAATATTCAAATTCTACATTAAATTTCCATTATGTCAACTGATTTATCTATAAACCAGAAGACAGTTTTATATGCCAGCTACCTCTGGAATGACAAAGAAACTATCTCTGTCCTAAGTTAGTAATCACTGGAGAAAAGTATTTCGCTACTGAAATACTAAATGACCAGTTGCTATGGAAAAGTCCCTGCTCTGTTCAGACCCAGCCTTCTCAGACAAGCTGTAAGTAAAATGAGCATGGAGACTTGCTGCCTCACAAAACTGCTGCTATTCTTGGACTCCAGCACCCCAAGTGAAATGAACCTGAAAGAAATACTGCAACAGGTTGCCCATCACAGCTTATTCCTCTTGGTGTTAAATGAGTTGAGGAGTATGAGGGAAGAGGGAAGGAGCAGGAGATGGAGTTCATCCCAGTCTCTATTTACTGCCTTTCTAAATCATTTTTCACATCTTATCACCAACGGGAAACCTTGACAAAGGAAAGCCCAAGGCTGGGAAACCTGTTCCAGACATAACTTTAAATATTATGATGTCTGCACATGTAAAATGTCAACCTTAACCTTGTATTGACATGCTTGTTTGCATTTTATCTTTGGATAATAAACTGGACAATAATCTCCATGTTCTCACTGATAAACATATGCTGCCACAGCTGCCTGAATGGTCCATACATCACTCTCAAGAATATCTAGCCATGGCCTCATTCTATAGACCTGGAGTAGTTACACCATTAAAATGAAGACCAGGCTTTGTGATACTAAAGCTACATGGTAGAGTGCATTTCTCATCTTACATGATTTCACAAGCCAAGAATTTACTAGCGTATTTACTACATACCATTAATTTTATTAGATGAAAGTTCCAGCTTCTGCAGGTGAATGTATCTGGAGAGAATGCTAATGTCACTTAACTCACGACCCTGGAAAGATAAAGAAAGGGACTTTAAAACCGGCTGTATAACTTCAGCTGCTCTCCCAAGATACACACAGTATCAGGAGACATTGAAGAGGTGCTTCAAGGTCCCTCTGGCTGGATGTGTCAGAACAGGGTGGCGTATACAGAAAGTGATGTTAGAATGGTGAAAATGTCAAGAGATGACTTTAAAACACAACCAGGAGAGATATCTGCAGCCAGGAACAATGCTAGCAAAACAATCTGCGTAGAAAAGGGAGCAGCAGCGTCAAGTAAGCTTTAAGAGACACAACCATTGACCCATTTCTGAAGGAGCAATGGATGCAGCATTCTCAGGTGTTTCACATGCTCCTGTATTATTTTCCTCCAGCTGACTGAAGCAGGAAGAAGTATTTTCACACCTGAAGATTGGGTAAGGAAGAATCTTACTGCTGTTGGTACTAAGTGCAAAAAGACTGCTGATATACAGCTGTTAGCAGGAGCCATGCTGTGTCTTGTCAGAAGTCCCATGTATGCAAAGCAGCGTTGACAGAGACAAAAACCTGCCTCTTGAAGACCAACTATTTGCTGTTAAAAAGAGGAAATCTTTGAGCAGAGAAGCACTTTACTTTGATGGTCTTTGCTCATACTTACTGAAAGCGACAGGTTAAGATAGACGTATTCAATACCAGTGGCTGAGCGCCCCAGCTCGTGGAGTCCCTCAGCCACGGTGTCTTCATCCAACACTCCCTCAAGCTGACCCTATAAAGTAGCAGAAATGGGAAAGGAATGGATTAAGGGGGGGATTTATGAAATGGAATTCCCCACAAAAGGGGCTGTTTGGGTTGCAACTGCGAATGGAGTTTCATAACAAAGTCCTCTAACACTGCTTTCAGGGCTCCATCACCCTACTAAGGCACTACACAAGGTTTAACACAGCCTCAAACCAGATAAACGGGTCGTGTACTGCCTCCATACGTTTGAACAGGTTCAACAGGTTTCTGCTGGCTTATTTTTACCTTCTGATTTAAACGCACAGCCGTTTCCAGAGGTACTGAGCCATGAAACTCGCATTGCTCGTGGATGTTAACATCTCAGCAAATCAGCTCTAACATAACCCCAGCGCTGCGCCCCAATATGCACCTTATTGGAAGCTGTTTCAGTTGGTTCAGCATGAGCAGCTAGCGCTGCCCTTCAGAGAGCAGTCCTTGCCAGAGAGGGCACTTGACAGATGGCACTAATGAAGCACTGCATGGGTTTAACAGGAGAATAAGCCAATGGGTTGTGAAATCCCTGCAAGCTTGGTGAAGTCGCACAATTGCTAACCCAGGGACCACGATAAAGAGTGTTTCAAACGGTAATCATCTGAACTGTAGCACCTACATGCTCTAGCGATGGAGACTACAGATGTGTTCCTACTAGGCAAACACACAAGGTCTTAATGCTGTGGCAGTGGACGCTGTTAAGCCCAGCAGAGAAGAGAGAAAGAATTCATTTGGATCCAGGGGGTTATTTAGTCTCAGGACCGGGCATATAAACAAGAAAGGCATTTAATCTGGCCATTCATATGCCAGTTTACCCTTAGTTTTTATATAGCAAAAGAGGAGAGGGGCAATCCAGAGCTATTCTGGATACAATGGGAATAAAATAAACCCTAAAAAAGGCAGAAATTAGAGGTGATAGGAAGAGACCAAACCAACCTTTCCCCTCTTTGGGGAAAGGAGAAATCACTCCCTGGTGCTCCCATCAACATCCCCTTCTTTCCCTGGTAACAACACTGAGTGATGAGGGGGGAAAGGGTTGTTCCCTCACGAGCACATCCCTCCCCTAACAGCTGGGAAGCACTGAGCTGAACCTCTGTGTGCTGGGACTCCTCTTCCTTTCCATCCTCCTCCTGCTTGTCCTCTGGGTGAGGCAGGCTGGGCCGCGGCTGCTGCAGGCTGGGCCTGTCCTGGGGCTGCAGGGGCTGCGGTGGCTGAGGAGGAGGAGGAGGAAGCCGCTCATGGAGGCTGCCGCCTCCTCGTTTCTCTTTACCCCCAGCCATGAGCTGTGATGAGGGCGCAGAGGGAGCTGCCCTATTGACGCTTCGCCCTGAACGACCACTCCATCACCCCTCCCTGCAGGCCGCCGCCATCTTGCTGCTCTCCCGTTGCCGTGGAGACAGGGGGCGGGCGATCGGCGCCAGCCAGCCAATAGAAAGGCGGCTGGCGGAGCGGTGCAGGATGGGAGTTGTAGTTCCCCTTGCGGCGCTCAAGGAGCCGCAAAGCATCTTGGGATTTGTAGTCCGCCTCACAGGCCACCTCAGCGGGCCGCGCATCCCGCTCACACAGCCGCGCTCCTTTCCTCCTCCTCCTCACTCTCCCACAGCAGGGGTAAGCGCGCGTTCACCTCCATCTGTGTGTTACGGATCAGGGTTGTCAGAAAAATAACCTTCAGGGCACTGTTATCCAGCTACAAAGCCCCAACACGGGCTCGGTCCAGGACGGGGGGGGGGGATGCTGCTCAATGGCACCGTGCAGACAGTCTGCAAACCTGGCTTCTCATCAGCTGTTTTAGTCACAGGCCAGCCCTGGTCTTCCTGGGAGGCCTGGTAACACTGATCATTTATACTGGGAATCACAGCCGTCCTCTGGGGTGTGGGGCTGGGGCTGTTTGAAGGGGTGAAGTAACGTGTTCCCTGAGAAAAAAGTACAATTTCAGAACTGGTGGGGGAAAAAATCTACACAATTTTGCCGGAAACATTTGGGAAATAGTGATACGTGGATAGACCACAACTCGTTAAAGTTGTAACGTAGGTCTGCTTTATTCAGCGCTGAGGCGCATGGGGGATCACTCCTCCAAAGGCATGCACACCTCAGCGTCATTTCCTCTTTACATTTATCCTCTAAAGTTATACATATGCATGAGGTTGCACAACACGCCTATACATATTCATGTCCTATCCCCGCTTCGCATTATGATGCGCTAAAAGGTCCTTTGCGCTTGCGCAGGGCCTCCTGGTGGTCGTGGGCGAGGGTCTCAAGATGAAGGAAACGAGTCTTCCTCGAGCCTGGACTTTTCACCTCTGGTCGTTACGCATGCTCCCTGGAGGCTGGGTCATCGTCCATAGCACAGAGACAATTCCAGTAGGCCTGGGTGTCCAACGGACAGGAACCAAGTCACGGTCCCTACCTCTTAACAACAGCCACGTCCTTACACCTTGTTCTAGCATACACAACGAGTACGGTAAGCATGGACGAGCAGTAACATGTTAAGCAAGCATCTTGACCTACCCCCTTGTACATTGTGAATAGGATAAGAATAAGCAAGCAGTAACACTGTTAAGCAAGCAGTTTGACCTACCACCCCTGTACATTGGTTAACCCTTCACATCAATAGAGATCACAGTGGGGAAAGTAAATTCACAGCTTTTGAAGCAGCTTTGCTTGTCCTGGGCTTTCTTTTATCATCACAGAAGCCTGACTGCTTCCACAGCTTGGCTTATGGGGTGAGTGGATCATCTTGGTGCATCATCTGGGGTGAGCTCAACTGGCATAGAAGTTTTCATACCGTGCTTCCCACATCCTAAAACACAGGGCAGTTAGTTCACCCCCTGCAGGAGGTGGGGCACTTTTTACACCTCTGAGTTGTAGAAACATCAATGTTTAGCTGAGTCTCATTCAAAGAGCCCTTAAAGGGCTTTGAGACAGCCACAAGCTGGGTGAACTTTGTGTTGTGAAAAAGCAATGAGGGTTTAGGAAGAAATAACCTGTAGAGGACCTTTTACTCCAGATCACAACCTTGGCTGAGTGCCACCCTGCAGCCACACAAGGAGGAGCACCCTGCCTACTGAGCCAGGTTGCTACTGCAGCCAGAAACACCTACAGCAGCAGAGCCCTACTGGGACCTGATGCTGCTCCCATTGCTTTCCTATCACTCAGCTAATGGCAGTTGGAGTCTCAGAGCAGAGACTAGGAGTGATCTGGAGCCTTGTGATTGCTCTGGAGGCCCCATCGTCTGTGCTGGGTGGCAATGACAGCCACCAAGTGCAGATACTGCCTGGCACAACCCAGGTTTGGGGGGGAGTATGGGGTGTGTGGTAGCACAGAGAACACCACAGCAGCCCATGCAAAGCACAGTAGTAACACTGGGCTTAAATCCCTTATATACATACATACTTTTTCCGTCCAGTGCTCTGTCTTTGCAACCTGAAAGCCAGCCAAATACCTCACCATTCCCCAGATTCCACCCGGGAATCAAATGAGAGGTGGGCAGATGGGTGGTGTGAAGGCAGCTGAGATGCTCAGATACAGTAGGCTTACAGGAAGATACTTGTCTGAGCTCCAAGCTCTCCGAGAGGCAAAGGTCACACATAATCAAATTAATAGCTAGCTGGGCAACTTGTCCGTGTAAGATGGGGCTGGAGACTTCATGGGAACAGATGATAGGAAAAGGGCAGGACCAAATCCAGTTTACATAGACTGCCATTGAGCTTGGAGCAGGGCCAGCAGGACTAATGAGTTCTCAGCATGGAAGTGTCCCACAGCTTATTTCCTACCATCTGGAAAATGCCTACCCTTCCACTGGGATTTGTGATGATTCAGACAGGAGAAGGGATTATTAAAACCTCAGGAACACATTTGTCCTCCCTCCCTGTCTTTCCACAAACCCCATCTGTTTGGCTTGGCAGTGCAGGGACTGGCTGCCTGATCATGCACTTTGAGATGAAATAGCTCCTTTAAGACCCCTCTCCACAGGGGACGGCAACAAGGGTGAAAATAGGATCATGTGCTTTGGGCTGGAGAAAGATTGTTCGTGAATGGGGCTGTTAAGAAATGAAGCAGATGCCTGGGTGGTGATGTCAGTTTTGGTAGATGAAGAAAATGGTTTGGGTGGTGGGAAACGTCACCCCAGACCTCCTTCACAGAACGGTTTGGATCGGAAGGGACCTTAAAGCTCACCCAGTTCCAACCCCTGCCACAGGCAGGGACACCTTCCACTAGAGTAGCTTGCTCCAAGCCCCTGTGTCCTACCTGCCCTTGAACACTGCCAGGGATGGGGCAGCCACAGCTTCTCTGGGCACCCTGTGCCAGCGCCTCAGCACCCTCACAGGGAAGAGCTTCTGCCTAAGAGCTCATCTCAGTCTCCCCTCTGGCAGGTTAAAGCCATTCCCCTTGGCCTGGCCCTACAGGCCCTTGTCCAAAGCCCCTCTCCAGCTTTCCTGCAGCCCCTTTAGGCACTGGAGCTGCTCTCAGGTCTCCCCTTCGGGAGCCTTCTCTTCTCCAGGCTGACCCAGCCCAGCTCTCTCAGCCTGGCTCCAGAGCAGAGCTGCTCCAGCCCTCGCAGCATCTCCGTGGCCTCCTCTGCACTCGCTCCAACAGCTCCACGTCCCTCTTGTGCTGCTGCCCCAGAGCTCGATGCAGACCACTCGTACTTAACCTTTCCCTCCTCTATGTGTCAGGGATGAGCCCTTCATGGGAGCTGGGGGCTGTGTACCCATTTTGGCATCCTCCCATCCAACCCCTCTGCATTCAGAAACATGGATTCTCTTAATCCACTGAAGGGAGGGTGGCACAAGGGGTTGGCTCTGTTTGCCCAGAGTTTTTGGGGTAATCTGCTCACATTTAAGGAATCATTAAAAACACAGGAGCCGCTCAAGCAGTGTCCTTCTTCTGTAATCAGCTGGGCAAGAGCTAATCATGCAGATGAGGGACTTTTACAGCTCCCCTAAATGCCTGGGCTTCTCTTTGGAGTGATTAATGAGTCACAGCTCAGTATGCAGGCCCACTTATTCACAGCCTCATCTGACACCTTCCTGCTCTTCGTGGGAGAAGGGGGATTTCTGGATCCATCAAGGAGAGAGAAATCTTCTACGCCAATGTCCTACCAGGGGAAGGAGAACAGCTCCCTGTTAGACGGGGTGGGGGACAAGACAAAGGCAACTCACATCACGGCTGGCACGTCCCAGTGGAGATCAGTAGTTTGAGGTAGGCTCCATCCCCAAACCATGCTTAGAAGAGCCCTCACTGCACTCAGTTTATCAAGCTGAAAGCTTAAAGGAGGGTGTGGAGTAGCTCAGGCAGGTGAGAAGTGATTCCAGCTGTGCTAATGAAGGAAAACTCCTTAATTTGGTGTTCCATCATTACCAAAGAGGTTGCTGTGGCACAGAGGGTGAGCCATGGCTCCCCAGACATTCAGTCTCATGTTGCATTTGAAATGGTGTTTGGCCATGGTGTGTAACTGTTCCCCACGTTCTCCTGGCTCTGGAACTGCAAGCACTGAACTGAGCATTCCAAAACCCCACAGCAGAACGGAAGCTCTAAATCAGCAGCTATGATCCTAATAAAACCTTCCCCTATTGACAGAGGGAGCATTTCATACTCAGAAGTGTTAACTGCAAACGCTGGCCTTAAATACATTGATTTACTGTTCAATTCCTAATACAATTGGGTCCCCCATATAGGCCACATGCAAAGCAGATTTACAGCACCCTGATTTACAGCAAATTCAGTGGCTGACCAAGAAGCACCAAGCAACAAAATGACCCAGCTGGATGGGGAGGAGGGGGAAAAGCAAACCTGAAGTGCTGCCTTGGTGCTCCCTAGTAGGAAGAGAAGAAAGGTGTAAAGCAGGCAGCTTCGATGCTGCTCAAACCATGCTCGATGCAGCTTTGCAGGTCCTGGCTTTAATGTGATGGAGCAGAGGTGTCTGTTTGACACCTTCCCGTCAGCTTAGTCCTGTGGCTGTGTTCTTGGTACTCAGCCTGCTGGGAGCACTGCCAAAGCCCTTCTATCACTTCCCTGCAGCCAGGGCCTTGGGTTTATTCATTTATCCTTGATCTTCTTGTGTTTCTCGCTGTGCTTCCCTGAGCTTTTCCACTGCATAGAAGGGGGGGTGTGTCACACCTTCCACATGGAGAAAGCCCCATGTGGGGACAGCTGCCAGCACCCAGCATGAGCAAAGCAACAGGCTTGAAAGTCTCATATGAGGGGGCAGAGGGGCTTGGGAAGCTCAGGTTTCCCTCTCTCTTATTAGCTTCCCATCTTCCTCACAGTCTGAGCCTGCTGGGGACTTTGCCCG